TACAGTTGTAATCTTAGTGATCAAGTTTTTGAGTGGAAGTGTCGTTGAATGTTTTGATAAACACCACAGTACCATTGTACTGTATAACAGCATGATTTATCACAGGAAGCCCAGAATCAAAACAGTCTACTTGAAGCCAAGTTGTAAGGATTTGTATGGGAGTTTATCGTAAGATCGACAAAACTGTTAAAAAGCACTTAAAGAACCATTAAAGTGTACGTGAGAAACTAAGAAACTAAAACAAAAAAAAAATAATGCTACAATGACGTTTATACAGTAAGAAAACAACACAGAGACATTTGTTTATGACTTGTATACACTTTAATGGTTGTTATGTGTTTTTTAACCTTTTTTTTTTCGATATAGCGATAACTTCCCACAGAAATCCTTATAATTTGGCTCCTAGTGGGCTATTGTTAGTTTCGCGCCCTGTGGACTTACATTTGAAAAAAAGTAAGGTTTCTATCCAAACAGGGTCACGTTCAGCTGATTAGAACAATACCATACAACATAAATCTTATTCACGGCCCTAACACATTATTAATTCCTTTTAACATTTTGTTTGTTCACATAACGAATGTAAACGATTAGAAAGAGAACAGTCGGTCATGCGGTAAAAGAAAGTTTTCACTCTCGCCACAGCAGAAGGAATGAACTGGTAATGTATTTCAGTAACTCAAATCAAATGTGACTTTTGAAGTCTTTAAAGATTGTTAAAGCAAATAAAAACACCCTCTTAGTAGTTGCTGGCTAATATCTAACATCTTTGTAAATACTAGGAGTAATCGGAGCTTAGGAGAGTGTGTTCGATATGTTTTTTAGGCCTACAGGTAGCAGTTGAGGGGGAAGGGTGGTTGCGATATAGATAAATATGATTATGGCATATTTTGCTTAGGTTTCGCGTGCAGTAACTTTGCAAAGAAAAATAAGACTGCTCGCAGTCTAGTGGTACAACGGCGGCCGAACTAAACCCGGTTTGATGGATGCACCAGGAGTCGCAAACATTTTCCAAAGACAGTGACGAACCATGCTGAAAAATATGAAGGCTTAATCCAAAGTAAACTTTAACAGCAAACTTCTGAAAGATGAACTCTTTGGACGATTCAACAAACACAGATCGATGTACGCTTTACGAAGATTCAGCAAACTTTTTAAAAGATGAACGCTTTACGAAGAATATCAGACCTTAGCAAACCGCTTTGAATGATGAACGCTGCGGACACAAGAATCACCGCGTGAGTTAGCGCGTGAAAGAGAGGCAAATCGTAAGCAAGCGCCTCAAATCGAGGCAAATGTGTGTCGACGACGAAAATGCATTCTCAAAAAAATCTCCGTTATTAATTGCACAGGACACCCGATGATACACAGAACACCCAACATAAATTAGGGGTTGTGTTCTCGTACCTCGAAAGCAATTACCTTATATATGATACATAATAGCGGACCTACAGGCGCAGCGCGAAGCGTGGGCGGAGCCCCATAGCTAAGGAAATGAAGTGATTTACCCATCCGAGAAAATTTGGTAATCACGTGACCGTACACCGACCGACCGACCGCCCGCCCGACCGTCCTTCCGCACCACAGGCATACTAATGTAAAATAACTCAATCAACAGGTATGGCAACCCAAATGCAACTCAAGGCTCTATTTGGAAGGAAATCACATGGCCGCCCGGACTTTTAGAAAGAAAAAAAAACAACAAAGTCGTGTCTTTTTCGGCGTTATTTTTTACGTTTACACTGACGTGGATAAAGAAAAAGAGCTAGAGCGAGTTATTGAAAACAAAGGAGACGAATTTCGTAGGAAGAAAAACATGGAAATTCGAAGCGGCGGCGAGAAAATGAGTAATGCTAGCGGCCAACAAGGTGAAAATGAGCGGCAGTGAAAAATAAAAGCGAACATGAAAACAGCAAACAAAATATTGGGTAAGCACATACGACAATTCCTCCATAAAAATGTGTAACTAGGAAGTTTGCCGTTTTAGTCGTACAAAACAGCGTTGTAGTCGTGCAAAACAACGGCAAGGGAAAGACAAAAAAGCGTGCAAATTTGTTTTTTGCTAATTAGAAGAAAAAGTGTACTGCACGTTCATTTTGTTTTTTTGCTCATTAGATCTGTTAGTCTTGAAGCCAATTTCATTGTCGTCTCCGTTTAGCATTACACGATTTAATTTTTTTTGTTTACACGTATTATTAACCAGAGCTTCGCTTGTAGCCCTGGCTAAATCTATATATTATAAAGTTCTAACAAGACATTTCTCAACAGAGCTGTCCATGTCATGCTGTTAACCTAATAGTATTAATATATTTCTTTATCTTTTCAAATTGATCATATTTACACCAATGCAAGTACACTGTTGTTAAAAGAAATCATTTCTAACTTACTTTCTTTCCAGCCGGTAAAGTCCTCGCAGCGGCCTCAAAATATGCCAGAGTGAAATGTTGAAACTGATGTGAAAGACGAAGTGGCAGAAAATCGACCCAAAACTGGCCTGTTGGGCGGGGAGAGAAAACTGTTATAATGGGATAGGTTTCTCATTCGATTTTTTTTTTTTTTCGCCCTAAGAGGTAATGTCGTCAACAAAATGGCTTGTTTTCGTGCAGAATACGGGCTGGAGATTTGGGAAAGAAAACTGTTTAGACCAAGATGGATGGATGGGTATTTTCAAAAAAATGCCATTGTGTTTTTTACGACTAGCTGAACTTATTCCCTTTTTCTTTCTTATTCAAATTTAGTAATGCCAGGAAGAAAAGGACTAATTTACACAACAAAACAAACTACCGACGCATTATAACTAGTAGTTGCAGTAAGATGATGCCATTATCTAAATGGCCTTTTAGCTTCAGTTCCGTCGAAATTATCACGTGCTGAGTCAGATACCTTTTTTGGTTAACTTTAATTCAGACGTCCACCGGGTGACTTTCTATTCCATCTTGCCCATGAGCTAGAAATATTAAATTTGAATCTTATTCATGGATAAATGGTTTATGACATTGAGCAGGTGGTATTTTATACAGTAGAAACTCTCTTTACAACCCTTCTCGAAAGCGACTAGCTCTAGTTAAGACCAACATTGAGTGTGACTAGTTAAGAACTGCGACTTTTAAAGCTCTTTAATGAAAAGTTCTCGTAAGCGACCGCTATCACTTTTTTGAAACACCACATGGGCTGGTCTTTTATTATCTCTTTTCTTTTTTAAAGTTCCCGTAAATGAAAAACCATTTATTAATGGCTCGTTTACATCGAATGATATGCTAATTATAATAAAAAATTAACTATTTCATATTATTTTGCTTTAATGAGTTAGTAATTAACAACATTTTGCCCATGTAAGCTAATCACACGTTCCCTTTCGGCAGCCTATTCTCGTAAAGCTCTGGTGGCGACCATTTTTCTGAATTCCCAAAGTGGCCACTTACGAGAGCTTTGAATGTACTTGGGAAGACGCAGTTAAAACTCTGGAATGAAAACATTCGAAAAGAAACTGAGGACGGTGCGACTCTTTTGATAATAATAGATAACAATTATTACTATATTCTAACAGCGTTGTTCAAGCAGTGTTCACGACGACACGTTAGGTCCATTTATATGAGGAAAAATAAGACGCGCCTTACATAAGACGCGTCTTAAATAAGACGCGAACTTTCCGTATAAACGGCACATTTCGTCTAAAATAAGACGCGGCATAGCTTAGACGCGTCGTATTTTAGAACAGCCCTTAACACCTGTTCTTAGATGAGACGCGTCTCAGCTAAGACGAGAAAAACTTCGTATAAATGACCTTCGCGTCCTACATAAGACGCGAACCCATACTACACATGCGTTAATTTTTGGCGCGCCACGTTGGATTGACGTTGCTACGGGCAACATTCACATGAAAACGAGTCAACAACAGAAATAAGACGCGAGCCATTTATACGAGCTGTTCTCGTCTTCGATAAGACATGCTCGTATAAATGGTACAGTTCGCGTCTTATTTAAGACGCGTCTAATTTTTCCTCGTATAAATGGTCCTATTATTTGATAAAATAAATCTCTCTCAAACTAACTCGACGAGTTCCGATTAGTGAAACACCTAGGTTTATACCCTTAAATTTATTTTAAACTGGGCTCGGAAACCTTTGTTTTGTATGTCAACTCGCTAGTATTGCAAAGATGGAAGTAACCTTAAATCCAGACTCAGCATCAAACAGTTTCTCGAAAAGCAAAAACCTTCAGTATTTCGGCGCGATAATTTCACCATCTTCTAAATTACTCGTAACATTCTTATAACAGCTTCCCTTGCACTAAATTTTCTGCAAAACCCAAGTAACAACGGAGAGATTTAATCATTGCTCAACAGTATCATCCATCAATCTTGACAATAAAATATAATGAGGATTGCACGGAGCTCAGGGTCTGGTTTCACATGTTCTTCTTTTACTTCACTTACATTCTACTGCTGACGAATAACTACCATCAACTAACTAACAAGCCAAGAGGTGACACTTGGTGACGACTCAATAGCCAAACTGTGGACCTGTTCGGTGGGAACCAAAACAAGGTAGACTCTATGAGGGTAATGTTTCTGTTCAACTACAATCACACAGCTTCCATTGACAAGAGGTCACGATCGAACCAATGAAAAACTAAAAACAATGAAGCTTCAAGGGGCTTATATAGCTTTGACTTTTAAAACAAGAATAAATGTGTAAATCTCACTTCGGACAGAGTCAAGACAAGAACGTTCAAAAATGGAAAGCAAATTCGCGAGCTAAATATAAATTCAAGTACGACTAGAATCAAAAACTCAAAACATGTAATTCGGTACCTAATAGTACCAAGCGTTTTTAAAGATCGACAAATCTATCATACCTTTAATCAGAACTGACCAATCATTAAATTTCCTGTTTTCCCGCGAGTTTCTTGGCAATCTTAACAAGCTAATTGCTTAAATTACTACTCATGCATCAAGCCTAAAAATTACCTCTTAAAATGGTGCAAAGACATATGTAGAAACAATGTTTGTCGGTCACACCTTTGAAAGAACTCTTCAAAGGGTTGTTCACAGCCGGCTTTCTCCTCAGTTCTCTGGAAATGGAGTCCAACTATTTCTTTCCCCTGATGAGGCAGGTTCTATGATTAAAAATCGAGATGGTGAAAACCTAAGGCAAACCCATATAGTTACTAAGTCTCTTCGTCTTTCGTGTCCTATTGTCAAGCAAGAAAGACTGACTCGTTTAAACAATCTTTGAGACCCTTTTTACATTAACAGTGTCCGGAAATTGAAAAACATGTCCTTCATCTCTATTCAGTCACTGGGGATATTCGAGTCCACGTCTGGGATGAAATAATGGCTACTTACGTCAATGACGCGTCGTAAATTTTCCCCCATAATAAAGAATTATTCAGTGTCAATGAAACTCAAGCACTGATTAAAAAATTATTCTCAAGAGGAAAAAATGGAAGGGGATGATAAAAGAATAAAGATAACTACGACAAGATGAATAAAGATGAATAAAGAGTCGAATAATTAAAAGAAACCCCAAGCGTTGATATTTACATTTATATTTTTTCCAGGAATCGAATGGTAACAAAAAGAATAATAATAGTAACATTTTCAACAGGATGACCATTTCAGTTATAAAAACTGCTATCAACACGGGTTCTGTAAAGACTGCGTTGGCCGGGAAGGGGATATGGCTGCCTGATGTCTGAGAAATGTTTAGCAGAACTTAAGTAGAAAAAACGAAGAGAAATCTCTGCTCGGTAAAAGGAGAAGTAACCCCGCTAGATTCTTAAGGTAACAATATACCTGCTTAGGTAAAAAAAACCTATTCTAATGCATATCTATCTTCTGACGTAAGAGAAATAAATGGAATAAACAGAGCAATATGCTGCTAACCAAAACAACGGATATTCATTAATCATGCAATAAAATAAAACAAAGGTAAAGTTAAGAAAGAACAAGCGGTCCTTGAATGTATACAGTTTAACAGCTATATTCTTTATTCATAATAGTTACTCAAGTCAAAAAATGATCAATGATTATAACCAACTATCCAATGGGTCATTGGTATCTTACCGTATACTGCATAGCCTGCAGTGCAGGCGTTTTCTTTGAGCGCGCAATTTGCTCGCGAAAGCGCCATGTTGAAACTTCCCGAAGAGAGGAGGAGATGGGGCAAGTCAAAGGGAGTGGGGAGGGGGCGGGGAGAGAGAAGCGTATTTTTCTCTCTCCTCCCCTCCCCCCTTTCCTTCTTTCGCCCTCGCACCTACCGTAAGGGTTACTATTTCTACTCTCCCCAATCTTCCACTGTCATAAAATCAAAGGATGGCGGCTACAGCAATATTATGAACACGAACAAGGTTTACGCCTGCACTGCAGGCTATTATTGCATACATTAGCAGCTTTTTATGCCATAGACCACACACAATGAAGAGAAGAAATATATTGCAGCCATGAAAGAGTTACATTTGACGCATCCTCGGAGACCCAGGGGCAGACAGTTGGGCCGGGAGAAAAGGCGCGACAAAAGTTTTCAAGCACTGTGCTTGAAAACTTTTGTCGCGCCTTTTCTCCCTGCCCGACTGACCGCCCCTGGTCTCCGAGGATGCATTTGACGGTACATTTTACCAGGTTCCGCATTGGGGGAAAAAGGAGAAAACAATTGGCGTGGGCGAAAACAAAAATCAGAGAGGTACTCAGGAGAGGGGAAAGGGTGCTGCCATTTCCCCCCTCCCCAGGACCCCGTTTTTTTCCTTTTTCTCCCACTGCGGAGCCTGGACCCAGGCTTATTTTACCTGAAATGACTGACTACCTCGGACTTCTAAAAGAGAAATCTTCGACAAGGTCTTGTTCAACCGTGTTACGTTAAGAACGTAGCTGAAGATATAGAAGATAAACTGATTTTTCCAGAGACGATCTTCAGGATCTTTGCCTCACTCTGCTCCCCTCAGTTTCTCCTTGGTACAGTCGAACCCTGCTTAACGGATTCCCTCTTAATACGGACACCTCGTTATTACGGATAATTTGCTTTGCCCCTGGGAAAAGCCCTTACATTTTCTCAAAATAAAACCCGGACGGACATCTGTTAATGCGGACAACGACCCCCCTTTTCGCCCTACCAACAAATTCTCATAGGAAGTCAACCTTGTTAATGCGGTCACTTTGTTATCAACCGTGTGTTCTAACGAGGCGACCTTTCCTTTCTGCAGGTAAAAAAGGCCTCCAGTTGACAGCGTGTCGATGTTCCCGGTGCTACAGAATACCAGATTAGATGATTTGTACACGTCAATTTCAGACTATTTTAGCATCAAACGAATTATACAGAGAACGGTTTTGATTAAGGAATATATAGGTGAGCGCGATTTCAGCGTGTTTCCCTGGATTTTTCCGCGGATACCTGCATTGTGAAGGTTACAGATGTTAAAAATGGACGATGCTTATGTCTTCTTCCACTTCTTTACTACTTTGTTCTAATAAAAGGCGTTTTCCTGGCTTTAAAAACGTGACCCGTTTAAATACGGACACTTTCTATCTTTTAGTGTCCGTATTAACGGGGTTTGACTGTATTTCAGTGTCCACTTTTAAGGTGGCTCGAAACAGTATTTTTGAAGGGATACCTTCCATATTTGGACCTCTTATCTTAAATGTCAATCCATTATAATACAGATTGTCTAGCCATCCCGATCTTGCTTGAAAATATGAATACGGACCATTAAACGATAGAGAAATAGAGTATACTAGAAACCGAAAGAAACCTACTGGTAATTTAAAAGGGAATACTTGTACGTGAAGCCTGACTTAATAGGTGTGTAGTTGTCTCTGCTATCTTTGACAAAAATAATAATAATAATAATAATAATAATAATAAATTTTTAAACAATGAAAACAAGTATTAAAATATCTCACAATTTACCAAACATTTTTGACGGAAATTGTCTTCCCAGGACACCAAAAAAAAGCGTTTCAGAGCATCAAAATTTCAAAATTTTCTGGGAAAGCATACCCCCATAGGTTCCCATACCTCTCCAGGCAGCCCACGCCTTCGCCGAGTGCATTTGTGTGTTATCCGCGTAAATCAGATTAAAGGCAATGATGACAAATAATACAGAGACAATGGCAGCGAACCTAATAGCGAGCCATGTGAGACACCACAGACCAAGTCGAATGGATTTGACTGAAAGAGCTTCACGTAATAAAATCAACCGCACGATAAGAAAGAATGCAAACTACAGTTATGCCCTGTAAACCGAATAGAACTACGGTCGACAAAATAAATGGAAGATTTCGGTCCGTGTGGAAATTTTCCGGTCAGAGTGGTCCGGTGACCTTCAGAGGTGGTCCTCTTTGACCGGTCGGTCTGATCCAACCGAAACTTGTTGTTCAATTTCCAAAAATTCTCGTTTCCAGTCCTACTTTGCTAGGAGGTAATCAAACTTTCGGTCACAAGGCAAATGGAATCGCTTCGATTCGATTGAAAATTTTGATCGATAATTCCAATGGTTTCTGACTGTTTGGTTTAGCAAAATGGAAACACCCAAAGTCTTTTGTAACTTCAACAATTGAATTCTACTGCGTCTACCACTTATATAATCTACCAGCAATTTATGTCCTGAAATATAAATAATCTTTATTTTTGTTCGCCCATAGACTGTACTATTACAAGAAAAAATTAAGTAAAATACAATAAAAATAAAGATCACCCCCCCCCCCAAAAAAAAATGACGTACATGTAGATACATTATAAGATTAATACAGACATTACTGACTTAAAAAACACGAGCTGCCTGTGCATCAAGGAGGAAGAAACTACTGTCAGCGGCAAAGAGGCATCCGGTACTTCGGTTAAAACATCTAAATAGGTAGCTAACGTCTGTGGTCACGGACTACAACGATATACGCAAACTTCGCGAGCTCTACTAAACGGCCTACACCTGTATATCTATGCTCTAAGAACTGTCACTTTCAGTGGCATCGGGATCCTTGTTTTCTTCTTCATCCGACTGTTCCCACGGTGGAGAGGATTGTCCATCACATCTCTTAAGTGCAAATTTATAAACTAAGAAACCACTTAATCCGCGAGCTTGCCAGTACTTGACTACTGAATACAGGCCTAAAAAGGAAAGAACAATACAGTGTCAGTAAGCAGAGATTTCATGTATGCATGCATCCAAAAAGAAAAATAATTATTATGCCTAGCATGTGAACATTGATCTTACATTGTAAAAGACGAAAGACAGCAAGCAACAACAACAACACTACTTGGATAAGCTCATTGCCGTTCTTAAAGAAGAAATCAATAATATTTAATATTTGTTTAATAATATAGAAATTTATTATAATTGTATTTTCCCTGATACTTTCCTTTATTCTCCTAATCTTTAGGTTTGATTAAACAGCAATATTGTAGGGAGAAATTTGATCTACTCTTAAGTTAGTTTTCTCACCATCATATCTGTATCCTTCCTCAGGAGCATAAGAACTTTTTAACTTGTATCCTCTGATGACTCGCACCGGTTTACCATTTTCAACATTTCGACTCAACGCCAAATTTCCTGTTATGCATGAAAAGGGAACATTAATTTACATGTACTACCAAATGATAAAGGACACACGAAGTAAACTTAAAACAGAACAATTATTTTATCTACCTCTAGTCAACGTTTGATCTTTTGATTGTGGAGCAGTTCGTAGATTCTGTTGAAAAATCAACCATAATAATTACAAAATTACTATTATTATTATTTATTATTATCTCCATTTCTAACCCAGCTTATTCGTCATAACCAGCTAGTGTTGAGAAATCTGCCAAATTTGCTGATGTTTTCTGCTACTTACAATTGACTGCAATAATTAGCTACTATTTAACTGGAAAAGGAATTCACAGGTGTCATAAAGAAGAAGAAGAAGAAGAAGAAGAAGAAGAAGAAGAAGAAGAAGAAGAAGAAGAAGAAGAAGAAGAAGAAGAAGAAGAAGTGGCTAAGCTCTTTTGGCAGTGCAGAGGTACAGAAAATGGGAAGGTTTCAAAACCCGCCTCCTCCATAGGCCTTCCATTGCCTCCCGTGCAGGCAATTCCGGTTACACTGACCATGAGGAGTCTGAGGACGAGAAAAGGATTTAAAAAATGTGGTGAGCTCCCCGTTCCCTCCCCATTCTCCAACTCGTTCTCTAAAACAGGACAGTGCAGCCTGCGGAGGAAGCTAGGCTTTCCCAAGGCTTAGTGGAGAGCACAAAACAAGCAAAAAGAGTTCCTTCTGCCCCAACTTTCCTTCATAATTACCTCAAATATCCCCCAAAAATTGATCATCAGCAACTCAGTGATGCAAGGCATTTTCAAACAAGTTAGATGAAAAACAATATAGCCGAACTTCTGTCTTAAAAACATAGCAAGAATACCCAAAAAATACCTGTCAATGGATGACAGCTGTCATAAATAGAATATCTTGTACAGTAAATAGATGAATCTCTTCAAACACTGAAACAATTTGTCATGTACCACACTGTTGCTTAACAGTGCCAGATCCAGACCTTGAGATACAATGTAAGGGGGAGGGCAGCCCGGTCATCCAGACCCTTAGATGAGGGGGGGCCTGGTTTCCAAAACAAATTTTTTGGGCCCTTCGGGCCTCAGTTGGTCTAAAAATAAAGGGGGTCGCCCCCCCCGGGCCCCTCCCCTGAATCCTCCACTGCTTAATGAATTAACAATTATCTAACACATCTGTTCTCTCAGCACAGAGGTACATGTACAACAATATCCAGCTATATGTACCACAGAGTCAATACCTTAGGGTTAGCTTTTGTGCCTTTTAAATCCCTTCCTCCTGCACGTAAAAAAAGAAAATTTAAAATAATACATCACAATCACAAGTAAACTATTACTAAAAGCCCTAATTGTTGTGTATTAGGACCCAGACTCCCTAACGGTAGGGCATTGGAACGCCTAAGTATAGTCGTGTAGGCGAAATAAAGCCATCGTCCAAGGTTGAATCCGTTGTAATCTTCCATTATTTGCCGACTAGATCGGTCACAACATTGGCGACGAGGGTAAAACAAGACCCCAAGAAGTCAACGAGACGAAAAGTTCGCGAGAAACATGGACGATAATGAACGAAACCATATCAAAACATTCGACTGTGATGGGGACCAAAACACGCTTGGTTTGTGATGGAAGCGGTGGCTGACAGCATTCGAACTATTTGCAGACGGCAAAGGCTTAACTCTAAATGAAGACAACGCGAACAACAGGCAGAGGAGACGTGCATTAATGCTCCTCTCGCGGGACCCGATGTTCAAAATATTTTCCTTACCCAACCGAAAACGGGAGATATGAAAGATTACCGGAAAGCGGTCGATGCACTGAACGCATACTTCGCTCCCAAAGTCAACACTACGTATGCTAGACACTGTTTCAGACAGCTAATTCACGCACCAGGGAAAACAATCCGACAGTTTGCAACCAGACTCAGACGAGCATCGAAAGATTGTGACTATGGCGAAGACAGAGATAACCAAATTCGTGATGAAATCCTCTGCAAGTGCACCAGCACTTGCACAAAACGAAAACTCCTGGAAGAACGTCAAGGCCTCACTTTAGCTAGAGCGCTTGAAATCGCCGAGAACTGCGAAAAAGTCGACGCACAGCTTGCTGCAATGACCATAAAGGAAAAGAGAGAGAATTCAGCTAGTGTAAACCGCATAGAGGGAACAAAGAGAGGCCATGGCAAGAGAAATCAGTCACGAGGTACCAAAACCGGCCGTGAGAAAACTTGTTACCGATGTGGTAGAACCGGACATTTCGGTCGAGATTCTAACTGTCCAGCAAGAGGTCAATTCTATCATCGATGTGGGCTGGAAGGACATTTTCAAGAGCAGTGCAGGACAAAGCAGAAAGGTGAAGAAAAGCAAAAACAAACCAAAGGCCACAGGAACCCCAAGGGAGGTGCTGCAAATATGGTTGGTTGCAACAACGAAGAAGAGGAACTAGTGTATGCTTTTACGGTAGGAGACAGGAAAGAGGAGAAAATTGAAGTAACCGTTGGAGGTTGTAAGCTGAACATGATCATAGATTCTGGAGCAAGCACTAACATCATTGACAAGGAAACATGGGAGTGGTTGAGGAAAAACAAAGTGAAGTGTGAATCAGCTCGCTCGAGCAGGAAACTCTATGCCTACGCATCCCAGACACCACTTGATGTGATAGGAACATTCTCCTGTGAAGTCTCTGTAGGAAGCAACACTGCTAGTGCCAAGTTTTGTGTGATCAATGGTGAAGGAGACCCCCTTCTGGGGAAGGACACTGCAACTAGTCTTAGCGTACTGAAAATAGGGATTGGCATCGCTGCAGTAAGTGCAGACCCAATGACCATTGGTGGGATCCTGCAACAGAAGTACCCAAATGTTTTCAGCGGCGTTGGAAAGTTGAAAGACCGAGCAGTACAGCTTCACATCGACCCCAATTTAACGCCAGTAGCACAGCCGATGCGGAGGACTCCGTTCAGCATGAGATCAAAGTTGGAAGAAAAGATTAAAGAACTCATTGAACTAGACATTATTGAACCTGCACAAGGGCCCACACCATGGGTTAACCCAGTTGTTGTTGTCCCAAAGTCTGGGGGTGACATCCGTCTTTGCATTGACATGCGAAGGGCTAACGAGGCAATACGGAGAGCCAGACACCCGATTCCTACTGTTGATGAGATTAATCAGAGCATAAGTGGGAGCAAGGTATTCTGCAAACTTGACCTTAAGTGGGGATACCGCCAGCTTGAACTTTGCCCAGAATCCCGGGAGATTACTACGTTTGAAAACCTTGGGATCAGCTAGCTTACAAGAAATACCTCCCATGTAGTAGTGAACTGTGCAGCATCGGACAATTGATACTAAGAGGGACAAGAATCGTTATCCCGAAGAAACGCAGACCCCGGGTGTTGTCTCTCGCTCACGAAGGTCATCTGGGCATCGTTGGAACTAAACAGAAGTTGCGCAGTAAAGTGTGGTTGCCCAGGATGGAAAAGGATGGTGAAAAACACTGCAAAACCTGCTATGGATGTCAGTTAATCAGCCGTCCCAGCCCACCAGAGCCTATCAGGACATCTGGAATCTGGAAGAGATATTTGCAAGACATGGTCTACCTGAGAGCTTGACATCTGACAATGGACCACAGTTCGTAGCAACAGAGTTTACAGAGTACATGGAGCAGCAGGGAATTAGACACCACAGGGTAACAGCAAAATGGCCCCAGGCAAATGGAGAAGTTGAGCGCCAAAATAGCTCGCTTCTGAAAAGGTTCCAAATCGCACATGCTGAAAAGAAGGACTGGAAGAAAGAGCTGAATGGTTATCTTGCAGTGTACAGAAGCTTACCTCACCCAACGACTGGTATAAGCCCTGCCGAGTTGCTGTTCGGACGCAAAATACGCACCAAGCTTCCTAAGCTGAGCGATGTACATGTCGAACAAGAAGTGCGTGATAGGGACAATCAACAGAAGAGTAAGAGCAAAACGTACGCTGACATGCAAAGGAATGCAAGGTACCCAGAGGTACTTCCTGGAGATCAAGTGCTAGTGCAACAAGAGAGGAAAAACAAGCTCACAACCCGTTTTGAACCAAGTCCGTACACTGTGGTAAACAAGCATGGGAACAGCTTGATCGTGCAATCTCCAGGAGGAGCCCAATACTCCCGCAACACATCTCATGTAAAGAAACTGCTAGAGAATGGTAATACACGTGACGATACACCAAGTATACCGGAAGTGGTGGTGACCGGAGAGCCCTACAAGCAGGATAAACTGACCCCACAGCAAAGTGTGGTGATACCGGAACCAAATGTTGTTGAGCCTGAAGTTCCACTTAGGAGGTTCCTGAGACACAGAGTGGCCCCAAGTTATCTCAAAGACTATTGTACTTAAACTTTAGAGACGCTGAAATCTCAGAGACATTGTTGACATTGTTGCTAGTCCATGTTTACGTTTATTGGACCAATTATTATTCTGTTTCTACTTCTGCCAAATGTTATTGTTTTCTATCTAAATGGGGAGGGATGTTGTGTATTAGGACCCAGACTCCCTCCCGGTAGGGCATTGGAACGCCTGAGTATAGGATTAGGAACCACGAGTCGTGTAGGCGAAATAAAGCCATTGTCCAAGGTTGAATCCGTTGTAATCTTCCATTATTTGCTGACTAGATCGGTCATAACACTAATTACAGCTGTGAGGGTGGATCAAAGCAAGTTTTTGTGTAGTGACAACACAATGAATACAGCGTGTAGGCCTCAGACAGTACGGTACAGTTTTAACCTGCTCCAGTGTAGGTGAAAAATTCTCCATAATCAAGGTCATCTTCATATCCACCAGACAAAGCAAGAGAGTAACATCCCTCCACTTCATTACCATGAATACCAGCTACTGTTGGTCTGCAAAAATGAAACACAGCTTCATTAAAATGAAGACAAAAAAGGTACATGTAACAGCCCATAAGCATTAAGAATTAAAAATTATTAATAATTTAATTATCATCCTTACTGACTACTGATTTTGCGGATCTTGTTTACTGTGGGTAATGTCGACTGAGATATCGGTCGACATAGCGGTCGATATAGCGGTCGACAGTCGGTCGATAGTCGGTCGACAGTCAGTCGATAGTCGGTCGATAGTCGGTGGATAGTCGGTCGATAGTCGGTCGATGGTCGGTCGATAGTCGGTCGATAGTGAGATAGACTATCGGCCGAGTATCGGTCGATATTTCGACGACGCACCTCGACTTACTATCGGTCATATATCGGTGATATATCGGTCAACTGTCGGTGGTATATCAGTCAGCTGTCGGTGGTATATCGGTGAACTGTCGGTGGTATATCGGTCAACTGTCGGTGGTATATCGGTCAACTGTCGTTCGAATATCAGTCGTGTGTTAATTTATCAGGTGAGTCCAATGGCTTTTTTTAAGCAAAGACGTCATTAATTACTGTTATCATGCGATGGGGGAACATGTGGCAGTGCTAGGCGCGATTACTCTATGAAGTGAACCGAAGAGCACTTGGAACTAAGGACATGATAACCTTTTTTTTTTCCCGTTTGTATCATCACCGATCGTCTGAGTTTTAGCTGTTAAACAGAACCTGTCTCAGCCTAAGTTGAATCTGCTACTCCTGTGGTCCCGCAGTCGAAGAATACTTAATAAGGACGAGTGAAATGACTGCTCCCGCGGTCCCGAAGTAGACGAATAATGAATAGGAAAAGGCAGTTCACGACATGTTTTGAGAGCGAGGAATACACATCTTTTATTATCGGGCTTTGACCTGCTTCATCACGCCAAGTTCTCGTTTGTGCAGAGACCACAAATTAAACTTATATATTTCTGCATTGAAGACGGGAACAGTCCTTTGTTTAACGATCAGTTATTGATAAAACGCGTTGATAATGCGCCAAGGAAGGTGACAAAAATATCCAGCAGACTGAACACATTCATTTATTGTGGGAATGATTTCAATTTACAGCAAGGAAAATACTCATACGTTCTCATTACATTATCCTGTCCTTTTGCTCTGTCCTTTCGCTTTATATTTATATTGTGTTCAAAATAAAGACGACCATGCGTATACAGAAATTAATATTGAATGGTAAGTCACTTTTGGTCATCCAAAAAAAGGAAAACAGTATGCGCCGCGTTAACATTAATATTATCTTAACTTGTTAAGGAAAAACAAGTTTAAAAAAAATGAACTGTAAATACATTTTTTCATTAATGTAGTTCTGAGTCGGTTGAAAAATTCTCGGCATAGGAAAAATCAGCTAGATATAGGTCTTACACGGTGGGAATAAATCACATAACAAGAAGCTGAAGGCCTATCATTCTCACTTAGCGGACTTCTTCATGATTCAATTCTAGCCGGCTACGCGTAGCGAGGCACCCCCACCCCTAAAAAAAAAAACGATGGGAGGAAATGTCTGCGAAAAGGTGGTGGGCATCGATACAGATAGGCTAAATCCCGTTCACATGAATTAAAAGAAAAGGCTAGATAAATGACTAATAGCTATTATTCCAGAATTTTGGCTAAGTACATTGAAGTTTGAAATTAAAAAAGCAGAAACACAATTTAAAAAAACAGTTAGGTCCAAGCTAGAAAATGCTTTCTAATTTCTTGTTTTCCAAGCCAAAATGTAGGAAATGCTAAGTGTCAACCGACCATCGACTGAGTGTCGACCAATTACTGACCGATACATCGGTCAAGTATCGACCAACTATCGACCAACTATCGGCGAAGTATCGGCGAAGTGTCGGAGAAGTGTCGGCGAAATGTCTGCGAAATGTCGGCGAAGTGTCGGCGAAAAAACGGCGAAGTGTCGGTGAACGAAAAGCTATATCGGCCAAGACACATCTGGAACGACTATCGACCGTGTCTCGACCGAGTGTCGACCCACTGTCGACCGACTATCGACCGACTATCGACCGCTATATCGACCGACTGTCGACCGAGTATCGAACGAGTGTCGACCGAGTATCGACCGACTGTCGACCGACTATCGACCGAGTGTCGACCGCTATATCGACCGATATCTCGGTCGACATTACCCACAGTAAACAAGATCCCTTCTTGATTATCTGTTTCCACCTGCACGCTATACAGGGCTTGAAGTACTATACTAAAAAAGAGGGTGAGTGCTTCATCACGGGTTCCAAACTCCGAGAAACAGATGAAATACAGTGTACACTGTATGACGACATGCTTTCATCTGTCTCCAGGTGTTTGGAACCCATGATGAATCATGAAGCCAAAGGTTTTGACACGTCTTCTCAAATGAAACAATACAAAATTATACAGTGATATGTTTTCTCTGATGTTGGCATGAGTTGAAAAATGCAAGTGTTTGATCTTAGATACACCTAGTGGTGTTTTATCTAGTGTTTCATTAGGCATCAAGATTCATCTAGCTGACCCAAAATGGTCATAATATTCACTGACTTTTGAATGCATGAATAATAAAATTATTAATGAGTTTGAGAACTACAATTCCAAGCACCTGAACAGGCGTCTAAAGTGTTCAAGGCAGTGTGATGTCTCAAAACATATGTGATCTCATACATTTACCTTGTTTCATTATTATGGCTGTTCTAAGGCTTGATTCAAGAGATTGGGAGAAATACTTCAAATAACAGAAATTTTGCTCTTGATACAATGTAAGAAAGATTAGTCTGATGAATAATAAGTTAGGTCACTATGGATTTTTTATGCAACCTCTATGTTGTCCAGGGCACCTTGATCTTTAAGCAGCTCACAATGCTGCCAAAATCACAAATTCTGTACATTACTGTAGTATAACAAACATTTCTCCTGAGCACTTGAACCAAGCAAAGAGGCAGTTCACTTGCAAAATACAGTAATTGTATGAGATGACACAATTATTGGAGAGTTTGCCTGTGTTACCAGAAGAAATAAATTAGCTAACCTGTGTACACCATCAATACAGCACTCTAGCCTTGTGCCCCATATTGTTCCTACTGGACAACCTACCGATGGAATACAAAAAGGACATATTTTTAAATTCTATTGAAAAAGTATTAATCACAGTCAGGCAAACAATGTCAAAACCCAATATCTGGGCATAAACCTTACTTTATACAGCACACATACACACAAACACACACATACATATGCTGTAGAACTGTTAGAGTAGAATCAGCTATCTCAAATAACCTCTCTGATTTTTTCAAGAGTAATTTGAGCTAGAATAGTCTTGTACCTGGAATTTCTCCAAAAACATTTTCTCGGTTTCCTGGTGCCCTGAGGGGCTTCTTGTAGTCCTCATCACTTTCATCATCCTCCACGTTCCAATCACTTTGAATAGTGGTGGTTGGCTCCTTAAGAAAAGATCAAATAAACCTCAAACTTAGTAATCAAATTATTTTACAAAGGAAATAAGACAATGTACTTAAAGAGATCAAGCTCCTTATCTTTTATATGCCTTCTATAATTCTTACACAAATTGCCTGTCTACAGTGTACAGTATGTGCTCCTTGAATAGTAATAACTAAAACATGCATTGTTAATTCTCTCAGGAACACTTACCAGTCTACAAATAACTTGCCTTTTCAGTCTTATTCACAGTCTTATTCACATAATTTTTTTGTAATTTTACAGACATATTTTGTCCTTTCCTAATCCTGCAAATTAATATGTCCTTCCCCCAAATTCATTAAGTAAGCCATTTGAAAAAGTAAATATAAAAAAAACTGGAAGAGCAGCAACATGGAAAACATTTTAACTTAAAGCTAACATTAATCTCTTTTCCATAAAACTATATTTTTGTGGCTTGCAAAAATTAATGCAACATGGCTCTCTGGCACTTAGATTGCCAGACCCTTTCCAAAAGTGACTGTCTGTATAAAAATGACAGGCTCTTGGCATAGTTCAATAATTATTATATATGTAAATATCAACCTGCCCTCTGAGGCGTGATGATCTTCGCAGCCGATTCAATATACCAAGATTCTCTGACTGTGGGTAATGATCATCATATGGTGTTGTCTGGTTGACTGTGTCTTGTCTCTTACGCTTAACCCCACTTCGCTGAGTTGGCTTTTTTGTCACATTCACTGTAGGTTTTGGCATGAACAGCTAAAATTTTGTCAAAATAACACATGTAGCTTATGGTTAGTAAAAAAGCATCAGTAAATTTCTCTCTTTCCACCCCTGGAAAAGGAAGATCTGGATTTCCACAGATTCTACGGAGTTGATTTTATTATTATCATCATCATCATTATCATTATCATTATCATTATCATTATCATTATCATTATCATTATCATTATCATTATCATTATCATTATCATTATTACATTGTGGAATTTCAGGCTGAAAAAAGCTTTACATTGCCTGGTAAATTACCCTTGGGACAAAATTAAAAGCATTTGACCCTCGTTTCACAAGGAATTATGCATTGTTTCTAAAAATTGCTAGACTGCAAACAATTTCTCTTTTTCTACAGATTTAGTGAGGGGAGTGCACGCACATTTGAGAAGCAAAGCCGAGGGTGGCAGCCTGAGAAGAAAAAAGAGAGGCTGCTCCTATAGCCAGAGCAAATACATGTAAATCATACGTTGCCCTGGCAATGCAAAAATATGATTGGCTGATGCTTTAGGTGTTGAAAACGAATTGTCAATAATCAAGACTACTGACAAGATGGTGATGGCTGAAGTACTGTGGGAGTGTTTGTCTCATTTTCCAAAAAGAGAAATATTAGAAGGGGTGGCAAATGGTACCTCGAAAAACGTGGGTCTCGGAAAATTTTGGCAGGATCTCGAAATCTCCGAAACGTTTTTGATAAGTCTCGAAGTCTCGTTTTTTCATGGTTTGTTTTTACTTTTTTTGAGTCTCGAAACTTTTCACCAAAGAGTCTCGGGCTTGGATTTCTAACTAGGATCTCGGCGTCTCGGCAAGTCTCGGATTTTACCATTCGCCATCCCTATTAGATATAAGGCAAAGACAAAGCCTCTCTTCACTAGAACCATAGTTGCTACTGACAAAGAATGCTTTAGTTCCAAAACTGTAGTCCTGCTTTATAACTTGTGACAGAAAGTCACATAGACTGAAAGCAGGCCCTTAGAATGCTGGTTACAGCTGAAATAAAAGTAATTACCAATGGATGAACTACAGGACATCTTGCTATGGTCCAAAGACTTGCTTATCTCAAGAAAAAAAATTGGCACCCAAAGAATGAACTTGACTTGACTTACAGCTCAATTGGCTAAGCTTTAGTTTAACTACAATATTAGGATATGTAGAACACTAGCCCATGAGAATTCAACAACCTGCAAACAACAGGGTGGGTGCTGGGCAGGTGATCCTGTTCAAGAAAATAATAAAACACAGGAAATGACTTTCCAATATGCGAGAAGCAGATCAGCTTGATGACCTCTAAATGTGAGACTAAATAAATAGTTTAGAATTGACTCTATGAACACAATAACCTTTGCGTTATGTACAAGTCAATGTAACCCCCCCCCCCCCCCCAAACCCCCCGCCTGGGAAAAAAAAGGGCATCTTGCAAAAGAAAAAAACACCCCGTTGCCCACACAACACCTAAAACCAAAGTCCTCACGCTTTGCCTGCCCACACACTCACAATACTGATGTTTTCAGTGCCCCGCACAAAAAAACACAAGAAAAGACTACCCCAATAGAGGAGAACAAGGTAACTCGTGGGACCTCAAAAGGGGAGAATAAAAAAATTTTTTAAAATTGTCCCAATAACCCAAAAACCCTTTGGTTAATTAAAAGGAAAAGAAACCCCCCCCCCCCCCCTGCAAAACCCCCGGCTGGGAAATAGCAGGGCATTTTAGAAAAGAAGGAAAACCTCTGTTGTCCAAGCAAACGCTAAGGCCAAGTTTCTCATGCTTGGCCTGTCAACACTTTTGCAATAATGAATATTTCAGTTTCCAGTCAAAAATATCACTAGGCCGTGAGGGACCATTATCTCTGGCTTAAGACTGAGACTGCTCGTAGTTAAAAAAAAATTACTTTCCTAATATCGCGCTCCACGCACGTTCCACGCTGTACGCGCTCCTCACTAACACACTGCAGCCCCGTCAAATATTTTAACCAACTATCCCTACTAAAATGCAACAGCCACCTACACGTAGTGTAAACTATCAAATACCCTTTTTAAAAGCCTGTGTAGATTTGCACTGATGGCGTGAACAGCTAATTCAGACGGGGAAGAGTCGGAACGGAGTGCGTACACGTGCGTCCATCGATCGATCAAGCAGCATGACTGACTCACCTTAAACTTGTCAAGTCCTAAACTTGCCAATACCTTCTTATTCTCTTCAATATTCTTACGAATTTGAAGTTCATATTGACTGGGCCCGTTCATAATTGAGAATTTGCTTCAATAAATCGACCTTTTTGCACTCTCGAGATGCAGGACTTGCCTCATCCGCATGCCTAACCTAGGACGCTTGGTCAGCGGGTGGTCCCCCTAAAGAGGTACATACTTGGTGTAGGCTCTCTACGACACGCGGCGCAAACAGTCAAAATTTTAGCGCGAGAAAGCGTACTATATTTTCCAATTTACTCCAGGCGCAACTACTCTGTGGGAACAAATACCAGTTTTTCTTGATTTCAGGTGATCCACTTTAAGCCTCTCACGTTTTTAAAAAAATTGTTGTAGTAAATCATTATCTACCTTTGAGTGCTGGGTATCCTTCCTTGAAAGCATAAAAGTGCCAAACCATCCATTCAGAATGGATGGTTTGGCACTTTTATGCTGACAAGGAATGATATATTTCCATTCTGGTATACTTTGGCAGCTTAAAAGCAATTTGATTATTAAAAAAACAAATCTCAATCACGCAAGTGTGCAAAACGTAACTGAACAGAAATTATAGCACCAAATACTTCAGACACTGCAATGATTTCAACGATTTCTCTGATTCATTGCTTTTTGCTTTTTAAATATTACAAGGCAGGTTTTGGTTCCTTCAAAAGGAAACGCTTAAACGTTTGCTCATTACCTGACACAATATATTTCATTTATTTACTTTTCTTTCTCTTTGATTTTAAGTCGCCGTTCCTCACTTCCAAAAACTAACAGCAACTCCTTCGTCCCACCGGTTCGTCCCGTTACAAGCTGTTAGTAGGCTGAGTATATGAACAAGCCAACTGGAGGCTTTCCGTTTGTGTTTATGTTACAGTTAAGACATAATAAAACTTGGCTGCGTTTTGTATGCACATGTTAATGCGGTTTGTGTCCCTGAAATATCTGCCCGTGACGCTTTATCACCCTGATTATGGCCGAAAATTTGACCCACTTAAGAATATATTTATTCGCCGTAGTTTCACACCTCCCATTATTCACCTTGTGTGCCCCCCAAAATTTTTCATAGACATTGTCTTTTATTTCTCTAGTCTCGGGACCACTGTAATACCCAGGATAAATAAAAAACAAAGGTTATACAAAGTTTTTGGGCGCAAACAAGGTGTTTTATGTGAGATGTGCAAATGGCGAATAGTGTCTTGCAATTTTTTTTTTTTTTTCAAAAAAACAGGTTACAAAACAAGTTTTTCATGGAAGGCGCAGGGAGGGGCTGGGGGAGACTTCCAAGTCTTTTCTACAACTACGACTACTATTATAAGTAGCTGTGGATAATGCTTGATAAGACATCATTATCAAAACCATCATCATTCACAGAATATTTCAGGAAGTTGCCTGAAAAGCACGGTAAATGCATGTTTTGTGCTACAGGCTGGTGATTTTGACACTTTTCCTCTCAACTGCAACATATGAACTTTATTGAGAAACTGTTTTAACTGGGGGAGCAGTTCGATCAAGCGAAGAAAATGTAATAGAGACGGCAGCCAGCACATTATTGGGGTGTTAGGGTTCGGTTTATAGGGTACAATCGTCTTGAAGATTCCAGATTTTCCAAGTCCAATCCACAGCTATGGCACTTCCAAAGTCACGAGACTCGCGCAAACCCTCGGCCCTGGAATGAATTATTGCGTTGTGCACTTCACCTCTCATTAAGTTGTCATGCATAAAAAGATTACTCATTGAAGGATTACTTGTTTTTACTATCATCATGGATTCTGATGAATCGCATGTCGAAATTGCTTATGAATCTCAGGACGGCGAAAGTCAAGAAAGATCTCAAGACGGTGAATTTCCTTCAGTCAGCTTCAGCGAGAAAGAAGAAGTGCAATGTGACGTGGAGCCAGTTCGGTTAGTAAGCATTAGGCCTCTTGTTGATACCAACGATCACTCGGATAGCAGCAATTCTGTGGTCGAGCAACCGTCGAGACAAACTGCCCGCGATTTGTCCAAGTATAACTGGAAGCATTTCTTGCCGATTACTCGCCGGTAAGTTGAAGATTTATAAGTATAAGTTAGTGCACTTTGGTTTGAGCCAAAGTTCACAGCCGTAATATGACTGACTCACGGACTGAAGGCGGGTCAGGGGCAACGATTTTCGAAGAACGTTTTTAGACGACTATTTTGCCTATAAACTTACAAGTTGAGAAATGTCCTTGTGAACAGGAGCTTAAGTAATACAGATAATTTATCTTTAACGGGCAATTTTTTATGGGGTACATGTAAGCGCGAATCACTGACCCTTTCAAAAGAGCTTACATGTGCCCTATTATAACAGTTCCATTGTTTTTTTTAAGACGATTTTTTTGGAAAGAATTACAAGCTTCTAATTGACCAGCTGCCAGAAGGTTTACCAAATCACAAAATGAATGACAGTCCAGTCTTCTACAGATAATAACTAGGTTTCAATTAAAAAAAAAAAGGTTAGGGGACAAGGAATATAGGTGTTGTATGATAAGATTATTATTCATTCAAAGTATTTCTCCAGTTCTGATTAGCTAAAATGCCATGCATAATTCATCATAACCAACTACTGTCGACGAAATTTGAAAGAATTTTGTGATATGTGAAAAATGACGTCAACTGTGGAACATAATTGCCAGAAAACTGAACAGTAAGCTGAGAAGACCTGCAACGAAGTTGAGTTGTTTTGGTTGTGAGTACAAAATGGCAGAACATTTTACGTACAATAGAATGGAACTACTTAAGAGCCACTTTACAAACGTTTAATTTTGGCCCTGACATACTCAACTGGTTTCAAGTTATTTACAACCAAGCATCGAGCTGTGTACTGCACAATGGTCATGCATCGGACTTCTTCCTTCTCGAGCGAGGTGTGCGACAAGGTTGCCCACTATCTGGCCTCCTTTTCGTTGTTGAAATCGAACTCTTGGCTAGAGTACTTAAGAAAGACCATACTATTAAAGGCATCAAAGTCGGTCACAAGGAAATTAAGATAACTCAATACGCAGACGATACAACCGTTTTGGTGCGAGATCTTGATCCTGTCACACAATTACTAAAACATTTAGACAAATTCAAGCAGATCAGTGGCCTCAAAATTAACACAAACAAAAGCAAAGCATTGTTGGAGGTCACGCAAAGACAAGCCGTTTGGTTTTAAATGGCCCAAAGAACCAGTCTATGCCCTTGGTATACACTTTTCCTGTGACTTAAAGCAAGCCAACACCCTTAACTTTGAAGAAAAGATTTGTTCTTTAGAAAAAACACTCAACAACTGGAAAAAAAGAAAGCTACCTTTAATTGGCAAAATCAATATTGTCAAGACATTAGGTTTGTCGAAATTCATTTATTGCAGTTCCTTACTGACCATATCTAAATCCCTCATAGACAGAATTAGTAAGATTATTTTCAGCTTCATTTGGGAGGGTAAGCCTCCCAAAATTAAGAAAAAGACTATCATTGGTGAAAAACACTGCGGGGGCCTAAAAATGATTGACTTTGAAATCATGGAGCGGTCACTAAAGATTGCTTGGATAAAGCATATCCCTGAATCAAGTAATGCATCGTGGAAAATAATCCCAAATCAAGCTCTTAACCAATACGGAGGTCTAGAGTTCCTCATTGAATGCGACTACGATCCTAAGCTACTCAACTTAAAGAACTTTCCCGAGTTTTACCACACCATTTTAAATTACTGGCATGACTTCAGAAGACTAACCTGTGACAAACAATTTTCCATTATAAACAAATAATTTGGAACAAATGTATTGATGGAAAACCAATTTATATTAAATCCTGGTGTATAACTGGAATTCGTTGCATCAAAGACCTTTTAAATGTTAACCTTAAATTTCTTACTTTATCAGAAATGAAAGAGAAATAGAACTTTCAATTTCCTTTTACCACTTATTACGGCCCTTTAAGAACTATACCAACTGAATGGAAAAGTGCACTACGAGTCAAAGCAGGCGTGCATGATGAATCTGAAAACTGCGAAACATCCTTGAAGCTTTTTTCCACAAAAGAAGCCTATTCTTCCATACTTCACAAAAGCTTCTCAGCACCCACTGCTGAAGACAGAATTTTAGATCATGGGTTCACCAAAGAGGAAATTCCTTACATCTACATGCTCCGATTTAAAATCTTGAAAGAACCAAAACTGATTATGTTCCAAGTCAAAATTGTTCACAATATTTTACCTATTTTTATTTTACCTTCCCTGCGCGCATAACTGATACTGATGTTTAATTTGTCCTTTATGCAACCTTAAAAGTCAATCTCTAAAACATATGTTAATTACCTGTAGTGTATCCTCTTCGTTTTGGACTTGTTTTTCTAACTGGTGGCACGAAAAATTTAATCAAAAACTCACTCAAGGCTGAAAGCACTATTTTATATGGTTGGTGCAAAGAGTCAAATAACTGGGAAGTGCTTAATTACTGTTTGATTGTCACCAAATATAATGTTTCTGCTACAAGCGTACACAACGGCGTCCTGGACTTTGACAGTGTTCTACTGCGTCTCAACAACAAAATTGATATTCTTCGCACTATAGCTTTTAGATCTAACCGTTTATTGAAATTCAAAAAAAAAAGACCAATCTTCTTTAGATATGTGAAAACGTCAGGAAAACATGTTTTATCGATATAAAGACCAAAGCAGACAGTTTTACGAGAAAACGTTTAATTTCTTAACTGTAACAGTAACAAGTTCATCCTAAAGAAACCTCACCATTATTTATCATAGTCTCAGAGTACAGCTGCAGAGTAAAATCTTTTAAGTATTGAAACAGGCACAACAGTGGATTCATTTGAAAAAGTCTGTGACTTTACTTTAAGAGCAATGACTGCGACAAAAAGCCAAGGAAGTGAAACGTGTGTAACAGGAGGCAGAAAACTTTGTTGAAGGACTATACGTAGTACAAGAGTCAAACACCGGAAGAAAGACAGACTGTTCAAAATCAAATATGTCACACTACTTCGTTACAGTTTTTTTTAGTACTGTAATAAAATTTTTAATATTCAACCGTAAAAATCTGTCTTTATTTGAACAGGGTACAATGTCTACAATTATCACATAATTGTGACAATGAAAATAGTGTGTGCAGATCACCAATGTCCGTAAAGCGGGGCTGACAATAAATTATATGAGAGTTTGTGACTCGGGGCATAGAATGTCCGTATTAAGCGGGTGTCTGTAGAGCGGGGTTCCACTGTATTTCCTTGAATAATAGCCGGAGTGATTATTCCTTTGTCACATCAAAGGGGGGTGATTATTTTAGGTAAGGCGCTTATTTGAGGGAGGCAGTTATTTCAAATATTACTCACTGGAATTCGTGAACTAAATATTTTGTTTCATTATCCTGTTAAATCAGAAAGTTATGACAACAAATAAACTGAACATGGGCTTTTTTATTATTCCAAATTTAGTTCCTTGATTAATTTTGAGAGCTTGAATAGTTGTTGATCAGTTTTGCTGGACTACGTGACAGGGACGGGATTAAAGAAAGAGAAGAAGGCAAGAGGGGTAGGGGGCGATTATTCAAGGGAGGCGATTATTTTAATTTTATTATACATTCAACTCAATATCTCTTTTCTGATTGGCCGAAAGCGTACAGTGAATTGTCAGTNGGATTAAAGAAAGAGAAGAAGGCAAGAGGGGTAGGGGGCGATTATTCAAGGGAGGCGATTATTTTAATTTTATTATACATTCAACTCAATATCTCTTTTCTGATTGGCCGAAAGCGTACAGTGAATTGTCAGTGAAGAAGCAAAAACATGACTTCCAGGTTTGCTTCGTTGACTGAGCAAGACATCAAAAAAGTGGTTGAAGACAAGGACTCACAAACACAAAAAGGCCGACAAAGGTGGCAAAGAAAGCAGTTTGCTGATTACGTGAAAGAGAAAAAAATGAGAGAACCTGAGGAAAAAAAAAGTTGGCACAAACTTTGAAAACACACATTTTATGTCGAAGCAAGAAAGAAAGGATTCGTTCAATGTATAATAAAACAATTATTAGTTTCAGTTTTTGTGATATCCAGAATAATCAAGGTCTCGGTAAGGGTTATTAGCCTCAGCCGAAGGCTGAGGCTGATATGTTAACCCCTGATAACCCCCTGATAACCTCGACTTTGATTATTGTGGATATCGCAAAAAACCTCGTCCAATAATTGTTTAATATTTCCATCAAAGGGGAGCAATTATTCAAGGGAGGCGACTAATTCAGGGACGGCTATTATTCAAGGAAGTACGGTATGTTGTGTTTACATTAGGCGAGAAAAATGTCAATCAAACATGCAGTATAATAAAAGGCAGTGAAGGTCTTGTTACATCGCTAAATGGTATGATTGAAGATCAGAGCTTGGAGGTCACTAATTCAATGGGACTAAGTGGCTGCAGCTCAAAGAAAAGTTGGAGTGATCAAACGGTATTCACAAAGAAACGATTTGACATCAAATACCCGTTAACAGAACCGATGACATACAAAAGATTTGTCAAATCGTTGAAGTGATGATGAGAGGAAATATTCTTTGTTTAAAAAGAACTTGGCGGCTTGCATTGTCGATGGAATGCATACCATCAAGACCTAGAGGCATAAATTTATAAAAACCTTTCGCTATTGATATTATTCACGCAAAATGTGACCTGATGACAGATGTTAATGTCTTGTCTCTGTAGCCTTTAAAAAGGTTTTGGTACAGTTTGCATCCTGAATTTTAGGTCCGCTTAGTAAGACATATCTGCTCATAAAATGCTGCCACTTTGTACAAATGCAATGATCATTTTTCACGTACTCTGTGATCTTTGGTGTCTACAGGTACAGTTGTGATATCACAATCTCAGAAAGCAATAGCCTTTTACAATACACAGCATGCATTCTTTTAACATATCCAGTTTTTACTCTGTTTTTTTTGTACTTGTCGTGCCTTTGGTTAAAAACAATTTAATGCTGTGTGTTTGCCATCAGTTTATTGCTCCATCGCTTTATAATCAGATCATGTAGCTGATCTTTATAACAGGTAGTTAGACTGAGGATGTAAAAATACAACACACTTTGACATGCTTTGTTTGTGCAAGGTCAATCTGGATCATTTTCTTTCAAAATAATTTTTGACAGATCACTCAGCAGTCGTTAGATAATTGGACTAGGGGCAGGAAACAATTTTCACGGGCCTCTTGGGCAGGTGCTCCCCCTGTCCTCGCATTTTTTCTCTCTCATTCTTTCTTGCACCCATTTCTTCCAAGCACCTGCCATGCAGGCTATTAACATTGATGGAGGTAAGCATGTTTTAGCTTGTATTCAAACTAGGGATTATTTTGAATGAATAATAAACAATTATTAGTCTCCCTTGCGTAAACAGCAAGACTCATAATCAGCAACATGTTTTTGATCATATTTAGGACACAAAAGGGGGGTCATTGTGCCAGGGGTTCCTAGCGGAGACTGTGGAAACTGGGACTAAGAATCGTTGCGTGATTGAAGCCACCCATGTTTTGCAAAGAAATCTTAGGAAAGATTGTTGGTCCATGAATTCTATTGCTTCAAAGCTTTGATTACTTTGGAACAAGTGAACACTACTGAGTGGTCGAAAAAAAAAAAAATCTTAATTAGCAAAACTACTATGGTCAGGTGTTATAGACTTTAAAGTGACCACAGGCATCCCAAGCTCACGTTATGAGTGTGTAATTTAAATTAACTTTCTCACAAGAGAGTCGGTGTTGTGTTACAAGCAACTGTTGAGACTTTGTATGAGAAATTGCTTCTAACGCAACACCAACTCTATTGTGAGAAAGTTAATTTACATAACAAACTCGTAACATGAGCTTGGGATGCCTGGAAAATGATGTGCCGTGTAAATCAATTTTTGATCTCTGGCAGTGATGTAATTTCTCAGGAATTGAGGCCTTTGAATAGAGACCTTTAGCATCAGGTAAACCGCAAACTGCAAACCGCAGTTACACGTTTGCAGTTTCGCATTGCCGAGATTTCAAACTTTAGCAAGGCGTTCAGTTCAGTTCATTTTTATTTAGCCAAAATACAAAACAATACAAGAATACAAATAGGAATTGTAAGGATGCAAGGGAGCCCAGAAGAAAACAGAAGGCTTTATGAAGCCTGGGCTCCCCAGTCTAAAAGAAATAAGCAAAATAAAAATGATATTCGCGGAGTGATAAGTTAAAAGTAGGAACCAAACAGAGACTGAGTTAAGTTATGAATTCAGTAACAAGATAGATAAAAAAATTAACTCTGGATTGGAACAGAATACTTTCCTTTGTTGGTACAGCAGAAAGGAATATAAAATTGATTTGAACTACAAGTTCATTGTTTAGGGCCGCCATGTTGTTTTCATCAAGTCGAAGTGCATCACTTTAGTCGCTCAAAAATCAGCAATAATTCATTGATTCGAGATGAAAAATCCAACAAACACATCGCAAACGGATACAAAAAGCTAGTTCATACCTTTAAACGCAAGGCTGTACAATTTTTTGTGGCAAAAAAACCTTCCAGGAAATCACTTACCGTGGGAAGCCCTTCCTGCAGTTCAAACGTGAACTGCAAACTGCAAACGTGATAGCAGGGCCGTGGTCACGTGACATTTTGCGGTTTGCCGTTTCCCATGAAAAACCTGATGCTAAAGGTCCCGAATATTCATATATTTATACACTATATATAGCCTGCAACTGCAGACGTATTTCCGGTCGTCGCTAACACGCATACTAAATCAATTCATAAACAAATGTAAAGTATTGACGTCAATAAAGTAGGAAGTAAAAGACCTTTAGGGAGTAAACCCTGTTTTGTGTAGAATTAATCACCTCATTTTCTGATCTAAGGTTCAAGCAAGCGAGACTGATAGCTGCTGTAAGAGCATTCTTGTCGGATGAAAAATAAAATTAATGAGATTTCAGAGGGTGTCATCTGACAAGGCCTATTGACACCCTCTCAATCTCCATAATTCTTCAGATGATACCTAGCCTCATCCAATAATTGTTAATTAAGTGTTGCACCTTCTAGTGGTTTCAATAATTTAATAAGATCGAGCCACGGCCAAAAAATAAAGCCAAAGAGGTGTCTCTGTGGCAACTTTCGTGATGGATTGTCCTCTTGTAGTTCAAGGTGTGGTTGTTCAATTGGTGGATAGTGCTATCTGATGGATAAATCCAAGAAAGAATAATATGGGACAGAGAGGGAATCTCAGGAGGTTGGCTGGGATATGTAAATTTCACTAGAGATGTTTTTAGAGGCCCCGTCCACATGTAATTTAACAAAAGTGTAATTCCTGGGACGTCTGCACATTTCAATTGATTGTTTTAAACATCATCAAGTCCATGCACAACTGCTCCAAAGCAAACAATGCAGAATATTGTAATGGCGACTATTGAATTCTCTCTTGACAACACTAAGTAAACCTTTGGGGACTTTTCGGAAAACCAACTTTTGATTAATTTCAAGTGATTAATTGGTCTAAAATAACGTTGGTGTGATTCACATATCCCAAGGGCTCAGTAGACTGGGTGTTTCCCTCTCTGTCCCATTATTCTCTCATGATAAATCAATATCCAGCCAAAAAGTTTTAAGGAAAGCGATTGTGTTATCTATCTACTATTTAACAATTATTCCTCGAACCTCTTGGCTACTAGTGGGCTATAACATATAGCCTAGTAGTAGCTCAACCAATCAGAATGCAGCATTGATAATAGACCACTAGCTGGATTTTACTAAAGAGGTTTATCCAGTGGATATTGTTATATCCACCTTATAAATGTTACAGGTCAAATTTGATTTCAGGTTAATTTTGATTTAACTAAGAAGGTTGATTCTCAATTTCCAATGTCTCTCAGTCCTAGAAAATAAAGGAAACTAGGAATCAATCTACTGTAGGTTAAAAATTTTTAACCTGAGATCAAATGTGACCTATAACATAAACATGGGATCAGGTGACCACAGGGAGGCCAAGCACTGTACAGTACACAGTAGCTTATCAACTTCACTACAATGAGATCAAAGTGTATGCCTTTCTTTGTCATTTCAGAAGGGATTTGTATCAGACCAAAGACGGCTTCTCTGTTCAATTTCAAAATACAATAATTGGATCATTATTTTCAAATGTCTACGTGTAAGCTATAAAGTTGTGAGGCTTCCTGTTTGATGCCTTTCATATGGTGGGAAAATGGGAGGAATAGTGGACAAAAATTATTGTTGTGGTTTAATTTTATCTTTGTTTTAAATTTTTAGGTCGCCTGTTTTTGATATGGTAATCAGATTGAAACAAAATAAAATTATTTTAAGGCGACTCACGAAACTGAACTTTTTGGGGGGGATACCCAGATTTTGTGTTTAGAAGTGAGGGACCTCATTAAACCAAGGATAAAATTGAACCATGACAAAAATACTAACCCCTAGTCCATGGGCTGCCCTGATGGACTACCCATATGGTCTACCTTTTGAATAACTTTACAGAAAGTTACTTCATGTACCTACCATGATAGTCAATTCAAAAGGTAGATCATATGGGAAGTCCATATTGGGGTAGTCATGGAGGCGTATGTGGCCAAGTGGTTAACACCTCAAACTCAGGATCTGGAGGTCCGGGGTTCAAGCCTTGCCCGTTGCATTGTTTCCTTAGACAGGGAACTTTACTCCACTTTGTCCCTCTTCACCCAGGTGTATAAATGGGTGTACCGGCAACATACTGCTGGGGGGTAACCCTGCGATGGACTAGCATCCCATCCACAGGGGAGTAGGAATACTCCTATGTGCTTCATGCTAATGAAACCGGGATGAGCTCCGGCCATTTAGACCTTTGGCTTGTGCGCGCCTTTACCTTACATCATGGTAGTCCATATGGAGAGGTAGCGGCATTTGGGGCTTGTGGCCTGGGTTTCTTTTATCAGGGAATGTCAGAGGTAGAGGTATAGTCTGTATCACATGCAGTTTGAAATTGCAGTTTCAGTGCCCAGGCATTACGGAATCCATGCTCTGCTTTTGACTTAGGTGCTCACAGTGTACAATCACTTAGCCTGACACCTGTGCCAATTTCAAAATAACCGATGGCACTTATACATGTATAGATGCATCTATACATTACATAGCATGTGATGTATAGATGTTTATTGATAGTGATTAAAAACAGTTTTTATTTCAATATTGCTAGTACATTCAAGTACACCTTTAAAGTCTCAGGTAATTGAAAGTGATCAGAAAATAACAGCTTGGGATGTGTAACAAAATTCTGTTGAAGACTTTTGCTGTTAAACAAAACAAAACTTAACAAAAGAAATTCTTACTGAGTTGCAAGTATATTATTCTTGGAGGTGCGACAGGCTAAAGCCTGAATAATTTTTAACCAACAAAAAATTTTAATATTTTCTTGAGTTATTAAAACAGATAACAAAAGTCTTATCCTTTCTTTTTAGGGACCCATCCAAGCCTGCTATTGATGAAGCAGGATTTTTGTCTTTGATGTTCATGAGTTGGGCAACTCCAGCGATAACTAAAAGCTTCAAGAGAACATTACAATTGGATGATTTTGATAAACTTTCTCCTTATGAGTCAGCTGAAGTGAATTTCAGTCGAGGAACTCGGCTTTGGAATGAGCAAGTCAGCAAACTAGGGCTTCATCAAGCAAACATGTCAAAGGTGCTTTGGAGAGCCGTCAGGACTAGAATCTTTTTTGCCATGCTCTTCTTTATTTTGTCTCAACTGATCAGCTTTTTGGGGCCTGTAAGTACATGTATTTATTAATGTAACTTGAACTACTAGACCTAACAAAGCAAGAGTATATTTGTCATGTACAGTGGAAACTCGTATGATTATTTTATTTATTTATCAATGTTTTCTCCCCATGCATACACAGATTTACAGTAATACAATTATTGCATTATTGTATTATCATAATTATTGTCGTCATTATTTTCTGTTAAGCTGGATTGAGCTCTCAACAAAACATTGTGGGCTTAACTAAGAGAGCTCAAATAATAATTATAATTAGAAGGGTTAAGGGACTTGCAAGATATGTTTACTTAAGACAGATTTCGTTTTACCGAAGTTGTACTCTTCAAAAAGCAGATGACATCCATCAAGCAATTTTTGTGTGTGTATTCTTGCATTCCTTGTGCTCATTTTTTGCTATTAATTTTCATCTTTACATTGCTGTGAACCTTTTAATCATTTCCTTGACTTCTGCATTCATGCATGAGGTCAATCATTGTATCAGTGATCCATCTAACCACAAGTCCAGGGTCTCAGATGCATAAAATGTCCAAGAAGAAATCACATAGATGAGTTCCAGATGTGTCCTTTTGGACACAAGTGAACCATCTACCGGTGGGTCTTATCTGCAGGTCACAGGTCACCCAGGTTGCAGGTTTTGATGATTCCATTTTATTTTTCTGGTGAGCTTGTCCCTTAGCTTCTTGTTACAGAGTCTTGGTGTCAATCCCTCCAGCTGGATACAAGGTAGGTGCAAGCTGAGGCTAGTCTGCTTCACAGCAGTTCTTCCACATGTCATCAAGCAACGCTCCTTCCCAGTTTCAGGACATCTCTCATTGATAATTTATGAGATTGCTTTTGTTTGTATCAGCACCCCTGAGAGTTGCAACCTGCGACCTGTGACCTGATGTATGAAAATGTCTGGAAAGATGCATCAATGAGTGGTGAGCTTGTGTCCAATTCTGGACACAAACATTTGTTTCAGGCCCAGAGCTACCATGTCTGAAATGGCTTTTTCTTCATAATAAAATAAAAGAGGTAAATACAGTTGCATTCTTTGAATGTAGCATGCATATGTGTAGGACTACTGTATTTTTGGACAATGGTTACTTTCAAAAAATAAGATGTCCTTGACTTGTTTTCATATTCATGTCTCACATGGTCCTGGGTTGTCTGTCGGTGCGGCGTGCCTCGGAAAACGAAACTCAAACCGCTTTAGCTTTATCCACCCAGCCATCTCACCTATATTAAGAAATGTAAGAAATGAATTCCTTTTTCAGTTATTAGGTGAAGGTTGTTTAAACTTTGAACTTATAATACTGATCTTCTGTCTGTATTTTCATTACTTGCAAAATGATAATAGGCAATCTTTGTACGACGTATTCTGGAGTACGTAGAGGAAAAGGATTCATTATCACAAATCGAAGGAATTGGTTGGGTATGTTTTTGGTGTTAAATACTATCTGCCAGCTGCCAGCTACGTCCTCATTAGTCTGAAATGTCATCCGTCTCATTGCCCCACTCCCTCAACAGTTGGTAAGGAAGGGGACATTGGAAAGTGCCCAATATCGCAATACCGTAAGAAAAAGTGGCAAATACTGAAGTACCCTGTTGAAAATCAATGAAATAGCGATACCACATTTAATGATCGGTCTCGCTTAGTTAAAGTTATACGTCGAGCGATACATGTAGTCGACCAACAGATTGGCCGATAGTGCAGTGTTGGTTGGCATGTTGACCAATACTCGGCCGACATATTGATCGATAGGCTAGCGACATTTGGCCGATACTTCACTGATACTTAGTCGATGGTAAACTATTTGTCTACTCAAATTTTTGCAGTTACGTTGTCCATGCAGCAATTTTTAAGGGGCTTTGGCGACTTTTACGAGTCTACATGTAATAAGAGACTATAATTTCAAGTGTGTGCACACTTTTTTATGAACAAAACAGGCATCGCCTTTGAGAGGTATTCAAGGACAAACGTTATAACATGTGTAGAACTATGACAGAAATCCAACCAGTTGACGCGGCGAGGCTGGTGTGGGATGACACGAAAAACAGTACAAAAACTATTTCCAAACCTCCAAACCCGCGATATCTCGCATGTAACACTGAAACCCAGCTCCCCCATTAGATTATATGACAGTTGACTTATATGCCACCAATAGTCGACCAATATTCTACCGACAGTGGACCGATATTTTGCTGACAATTGCATGACACTCCCCTTATCCGAGTGTCGACGGGGACATTGACCATGTATCGACCGACATACCAGTGTACGTCTTGGCCGACTTGCGGTCGAGTGTCGACCGAAATGTCAACAGATGTGTCAGCCAATACACCGGCTGTGCTTTTCAGTCTTGCAGCAAGCGTTTTGTGCCTTATGTGCTGTTAAACCGGAGCAAAGTGACACTACCAGTACAGTTGCAAAGCCTGTTTTAGTTCAACTAAAATTAATGACCAGAGGAGGAAGACCAAAGACTCACTCATCTTAACAAAAACAAAATAGACTGTGTGAGTGCGTAAACAATGATCTTGACTGACTTGAACGATTCTCCATTGTTTAAGGACCCTTTAAGCTACATTTCAGATCTTAAGATCACTGTCTGTGAGAAAATTCCATATCCTGGAAACAACACAAAGTAGAGCTAGCGTCAAAACATAGCAGGGAATCCTCATATTTATGGACAAAAACTACAGGCATCGAACTATATCAGAAACCCATAAGGGGTTGAAACGTGTAACTCGCATATGTTTGCTTTGATTATTCATTTTCGAAAGTACCATATTTGGAACGAGAAGAAGAGGTAACTGACCAATCAAACTTCGTAAACAACGTGATGTAATTTTACTTCAGGTTTCCGCATCCACTTAAAAATGGTGCGACAAATGGGGGAAAAACTCCCGAAAGCCAAGAAAGCTTTCAAAGTATGAAACCAGGAATCTTACCGAAACACTGAGCAGGATATTATTGGCTTGCCACCCGGGCCAAACGTAACATTATGAAACCCATTGACATCCTCGCAACTTCTTGAAGTTGTCACTTCAAAAAAGTATGTCCCGTTGACCCTCTGCACAGTAAACTTATACTGCAAATAGGCTTTTAAAATTCTTATATTAAAAGTCTAGAATAAACAGTAAAACATATTACCAAATAAAATTCATTAGCTGCGTATCAAAAAGTGTCCAAAACGTGAACTTGACATCTTCGCAAAAAGTGATGCATGTAATGAATGTGAGGAGTATTTAAGCTTCAATTCAGTTTGGATGTGGTAGTCACGAGTCACGATCGTGTTTTGAGCTAATTTTATGAATGAACAAACTCAAAGCAATAGACAGAGAAGCCGTTTCTTGAAAAGTTTTATTCACAATCCAAAAAGTTAATCCTTTAAAGCAATTCTGAAAACACTATCTAGATCGTGGATACGTTCACGCAAGTGAAATCGGCTGTGCACATGGCAAAATTCAACACAAAATCCATCTCAAATCGGGGCACATTTTGTAATTTTTCTCTAGCGCCGAAGAGAAAAATTTATAAAACGTCTATGAAACTGTAATGTTTAGTCACTAACACAACACGCACACAAGCGCCATGTTTTAATAATAACTCAGTGATTTTACATGACCACGTGAAACACTAATGTATGCCAAATTATCCTAATTAACATAATCATGACATCTCGCCTTCAAAGGAGAAAAGACAAACTTCTCTTCCAAGTGACAACATTTGTGGAAACTCCATGTACTTATGATTAACTGTTCTGAGTGTGAATGCTGTCACTAAAGTCTTATGTATAGAAAGGCTCAACTGGAACAAGTTCATAATCAAACAAACATCCCTTCCGTACAAGTGTAAGGGGTAAAACGTATAGCTAATAAAGTCAATAGCAAAAAAGACTCTAATGTCTGGTTCTTGTCTACACATAGTTTAGTTCATGATATAATCCTGTCAAAATCTTGCTGGTAATCTGACAGTCCGGTCACTGGAAGTACGCTTTGTGTCTGCAAATCACTTCTGCCATTGGTTGGACCTAGAGCAGGTAATCCGCATTGCTAGCAGCAAATGGGGGTGTAATATCAACTGCGGGTGTGGCAGCAACAGGAGCAACTGGGTCATCATAGGCTGGACCCGTGATCACCGGCGGGGCCTCATTTGTTGACTGCAGGTGACGACGGTTTCGTCGGTAGGCAGGGCCATCAGGTGTTGTGACTATGAAGGATCTTGGCGCTGTATGTTTTTCAGATACAATGGCTGGCTCCCAAGTCTTTCTTTTCCTAATTCGAACTGTGTCATCTTCCTTGATCTGAGGCAACGGTTTCGTGTTACAATCATAGTACATCTTCTGCCTTTCACTCCGTTCTTTCAGCTTCTCTTGTGCTTTCTCAAGGACTCTCGGTTTGAGAAGGGACGCAGACGTAGGCAATTTAGATTTCAGCACTCTGCTCATTAACAGCTGAGCGGATGATTCCTTTAGTCTAGAAATAGCAGTGTTCCTGTATTCAAGTAGAACTATGTAGGGGTCATTTCCATCTTCAAACGCTTTCCTGAACAAGTTCTTAATGGTTTGAATTGCCCTTTCACTCATCCCATTAGACTGTGGGTACTAAAACTCGAGGTACAGACAGCAAAACCCCAATCCCTTGCAAACTGACGAAAACTTTTGCTTGAGAAGGGCATGTTATCAGCAACAACCTGATCAGGAATCCCATGACGGGCAAACATTGATTTCATGCTAGTTATAACAGAACCAGCAGTCTTGTCTTTCAAAAGACAAAGTTCAGGATACTTAGAGTAATAGTCAACGACAACCAAATAGGAGTTAGAGTTTAGTTCAAATATGTCTGCACCAAGTTTTTTCCATTGCCTCTGAGGCACTTCCTGAGGTAGTAAGGGCTCCTTCTGATTTTCTCTCTGGTGCCTGAGACGTGTTGAGCACTTGGCAACCATTCTTTCAATTGCTGCAGACATTCCAGGCTAATAGACTACAGCTCTGGCTCTTGACTTGCATTTCTCGATACCCAGGTGACTCTCATGAATGCAATTCAACACATCTGGTCTCATCCCTTGTGAAATAGTTAAGCTTCTCGTCTAGGAGCAATAAACCTTCAACTTCATGAACTTCACCACGCAAATGCCAGTAGTGAGTAATTAGCGAGGGGACTTTACTTCTGTGAGAGGGCCAACCACTCTTGACAACTTTGAGTAACTCTTGAAGGGTTTCATCTTGAGCTGTTTCAGATTTCATTTGTGTGAGCTTCTTTACTGTCAGTGGACGATTTGTAACAAGACTGTGGACCACTACTTCCATGTCATCATTCAGTTCACTATCCGCAGACTTCTCATTTAACGAAGCTCTAGAGAGAGTGTCTGCTACATACATGTACTTGCCAGGCACATAAGTAATGCTGATGTCATACTTCTGGAGTCTTAAAAGTAGACGCTGAAGCCTTGGAGGGGATTTAACCAGTGGCTTCTTTGTGATTGGAACAAGTGGTTTGTGGTCTCAGTCCACTTCAACTGGCCTGCCATACACATAGTGATTGAATCTCTCGCACCCAAATACAAATGCGAGAAGTTCCTTCTCGATCTGAGAGTTATTTTCTTTAGGTGGTGTAAGGGACCTTGATGAGTAAGCTATCGGGTGTTCATCCCGGAGGATGCATGCTCCCAGACCTGACTTAGAGGCATCCACTTGCTGCTTGACTGGCTTGGTAGGATGAAAGAATTTTAGAACAGGCTGGCTAGACAGGATTCCTTTGAGCCGTTCCACTAACTGTGCGTGCTCGTGCGACCAGATCCATGCTGCTTCTTTCTTTATGAGTTATCGCAATGGTGCAGTAATTTCCGACTGTCTGGAAATAAACTGGGAGAAGTAGTTGACCATTCCTAAGAATCTCTGCAATATCTTCTTTGCTCTGAGGCGAGGGCATCTGAATTATGGCGCCCACTTTCTCACCATCTAGTTTCAGCCCTGATTCAGACACAATGTTTCCCATGTGCTTGACCTCACTGACTTTGTACTGAAGCTTAGCTGTATTGAACTTGACGTTTGCCTCACGGGCCCTTTGCAACAGCTTGACCTTGATTTGGTCATGTTCTTGCTCATCTGCAGCAGCAACAATGATGTCATCGAAGATGACGTCCACACCGTCAATGTCTCCAAATATGGATTCATTCTTCTTCTGAAAGACCTCTGGGGCGGACTTAATGCCGAAGGGCATTCATTTAAAGCGATAACGGTCATAAGGCGTACTGGACGTGCAGAGGTAACAGCTTTCATTATCTAGGGGCACCTGCCAGAAGCCATCCTTTTCATCAACAATAGAGGAGACCCTTTTGCCACTCAGGTGACTTGCTATGTCTTCTGCTGTTGGGATTCTGTAATGCTCATGACGAATTGCCTTGTTAAGATCTCGTGGATCCAAGCATAATCACGTTATGACCAGACTGTTAACCCATGGAGTGGGTATGTCTACTTTCTGGATAACGTCTTTCTCCTCTAACTCTTGAAGTTTCAGTTTTAGTTTCTCCAGCAGGCTATATGACACTTTGCGAGGTGGATGAATTACAGGCTCGACTTTGTCATCCAATTCAATGTGATACTCGCCTCCCATGCGCCCCACCCCAGAGAACACAGCGGAGAACTCCTTTATAATTTCAGACTTAGTGAGCGGAGACTGGGCAAGAGTTTCAACCCTTCTGTCGAGATTCAAGGTGACTCGACCCAGTTATTTTGTGGGGGTACCATCCTACTTTAAAGCTCTCTGGTATCCCCACCTTTACTTTGATCGTGAGTCTATCATATAGCATGGATAACATATAGATCAATCTACAATATAGCATAAAATTTTTGGCAATCGGAGTAATTGTCACGTAGTTTAAGTGCCATTCTGCTGTTGCTGGCATTTTTTCGTGAAAATCTCTCGGATGGGTCCTTGCAAGTCAGCAAATAGCTTTAGGGCCTAGTAAATGTGCGCAATTTCGAGTAATGCAAACATATAGAAATTATAGTTTTAGCTATTTGTTGATATTTGTCAGCGTGTAAGAGTCCTTCTCACGAAAAAAGCATTTTCTTAAAAATCCATAGTTTTTTTTCCTTCCAATTTTTTCAGGGCCACAATTGATTAACTAACTACCCGGATTCTGAATTTCATGGTTGTTGAAAACCTGTGACATTATCTTCTATAAGCCCAATCTTAAGTAAACATGGAAGATTTTTAGCGTTTTGGCTGAGTTTTGGCTTTGGGAGTTTTCTATTGTTTCTAGGCTGCCATGATACAGCATTCTTGTTCAGCACGCTTGCAATGACCGCGCTTGGCTGACTTCCGAATGCTCACCGAGATATCATAATTTTGGTACGTTGAGAAAGTAGAAGGGATTCCCGTCACTTCACGTCCCTAGCCAGCTGAGTGTACATCATGCCGAGAATTAAAAACTCTAAAAAGAAAATGCACGAGAATTGATTAAAAATCATGAGTTAAACCTCTATGCCTATCTCACCGTACCATAATTATCATATCCCGGTGAGCATTCGGAAGTTTGTTCCATTCCTTGATTCTTACAGCTTAAGTTCAGTTTTCCTTCAGGCTTTACCTTGAACTCTCCATACGATGAAAGAACAACGCTTGTTTCTAGCAGCGGGGATTTGTTCCTGAGGTTAGAGCAAACACTAAGTGGTAATACGTTGGCTTCAGCTCCGGTATCCAGTTTAAATTTAACTGTTGTTCCACCAATGAGCAAATTGGAAAACCAAACTGAATTTTCAGCACTTCGCGGGTCAGTCAATGTCCCGATAAATAATTCCTCTGACTCGACTTCTCCACCGCTTTTTCCAGTGTAAGATCAGATGATTCACAAAGGAGACGCTCTTTCAGTCGAGTATCACTTACACCAAACACAATTCGGTCGCGAATCATACTGTCATACTGGTCGCCAAATTTGCAGAACTTTGCACGTGTTTTCAGTTCAGTTATAAGTTGGTCGATGGTTTCACCTTCTTGGTGCTTGTACTCCCAGAATCGGTATGTTTCGAACACGTTGTTTTTCCTCGGGTTCATATACTCCTCGAACTTCGACTTTAAAACGTCAAGCTTGGTACGATCCTCTTCGGTGGCAAACTGAAACGTATTGTAGATTTCCATCGCTTCTTCGCTGATCACATGGAGTAGAATCGCGCACTGAACATCCTCTTTCTCCTTTATCTTTCCCGACGCTTTCAAATACAGGTCAAAACGTTAGACCCACCATCTCCAGTTATCACGAAGATTCCCATGAAGCGACAAAGCTTCCGGAGGCTTGAAAAACTCCATCTTTTAACTCCTGGTACCATGTAATGTTTAGTCACTAACACAACACGCACACAAGTGCCATGTTTTAAGACTCAGCATTTAGTAATAAATCAGTGAACATGCCCACGGGAAACACTAATGAATGCTACATTATTCTAATTAACATAATCATGACAGAAACATTTAAAAATACATAAATTTCCTTTCAAAAACGTAATTGTCTTGGCCATAGAGTGCAAAATGTACCTGAAATTCAGCAAAAACTTCACTGCCTTGGTTGCATTTCAAAACAGACCATGCGCTCCGTCGTGAAGAAGACAAGGTTGAATTCCTCGAAGGACGATTTCTTGATGAAAAGCTTCCTTTCCTACACAAAAAGAAAGCTGAGCATTCTTTTGAACTTTCTCTTTCCATTTTTTGTCTTTTAACGGCGTATTTTTAACCTTGAAATGCAGAGCTCTTGTCTTAAAACATCTGCATGGTGATCGCGCGGCAGCCATTTTGTTGAAAACGGCTTTCTGTCACTAAGGTTTCCAAATGTGGTAAAAGTGAATATTCACGAACATTGAACGCGAGTTACACGTTTCAACCCCTTTTGAGTTTCTGGCTACACATATACATTCAGATTCAGGCATGTCGAAGAAAAACAGAGACACTAAAATCTTTATGAAACAGTTTCTTTCGCCGTGATAAGAAAATTTAGGCTTAAAGTGAGGTAATAGAAAATCAGTGGCAAACTGCATCTGTGAACAATTCCTGTGAGAAACACCTACAGAAACATACACCACAGGAACGTATTACTCAATTTGCATGAAACAGACCAGCTTCATGACCTCTAAATGTGACACTCAGAGTGGCAAATGTAAGATTTGTCGACAAAAATAAGATTTTTCGGTCAAAGGTTAGATACCCCATGTACTGCATAATCTTCGCTCTAGAAAGAGAAGAAGGAAGTCCTCCGTTCAAGCAAACCAAAGGTCACGTTTCACACTATCGCTCACACTATAGTGAGCTTATAAGTCGTGTTTGGTATGTCAACAGTTTATTACAAACGATTTGCTGAAACCGTCTGTAGCCAATAGCAAGTAGTAGTTTATTGTCACAAAGGCAGGTAACAATGGTTTGTATTTTACACCAATCAGCATGGACTTACCAAAGTCTGTGACGTAACGGGACGGCATTATAATGGTGGGAATTCAGATGTCTCTTTTGCCTTGCTGCCCGTTGGGGGGTGGGATGAACAGATGGATGACATTTTAGACTTACCTCCTGTACACTTTTTTTTGCTGTGGCATCATAATAAACCATCATAATAACCCGTTTACATTAAGTACTTCTTAGTTGTACACTTCTGAAGGTCCTTGCTGCTGTCATTGTGGATAATAATAATTAGTAAAATCCAATTAGTGGACTATTATCAATGATGCGTTCTGATTGGTTGAGCTATTACTAGGCTATATGTTACAACCCACTCGTAGCACAAAGCGCCGACTTATTGGCGGCAAAAAAAGGCTTAAAGTCTAGCTTTAACTAGCTAAAGTTGTTTTGTCTCTATATTTTTGACCAACTAGTTGGATTTTACTAAAACAATTATTCCTCTCGCCCTCATTGCCTCTGAGTCAATAGCCCATTTGGCCATTCGGCCTCATGGGCTATTGACTCAGAGCCCATTTGGGCTCGAGGAATAGTTATTGTTAATAACTTAATAATAATTTATTCGTCAATTCCCCAGCCGAATTGAAAAATAGCAAACTTAGCCAAAATAAAATAATAATGTGCTAAGCTCTGGTTGTTATATGGCAGTTAAATATTATCAGACTTATAATATCCAGGTAAATACATTAATTATTGATACAAACTTTCATTTATGGAAATACAAGAAAGAGGCTGAGGAGTTAGTATTAATGGGAGGGAAGGGGGCACTGAAAGGGTTTGTGTTGTCTTGAGCGAGGAAATGATTATCCTTTGTTCCAAGCTCCAGACCTCACCTTATGTAATGCGAGAATTAGGGAGTGGTTGCATAACATAACATAACATAACAACTTTATTTACGTATCGATGTGTTGGGGACACTAAAATAATAAGGAAAAAAATTATAAAATGAGTTTATACATGGTATCATAAGGTGAATTTATAATTCTCTAAAATCTAAAATTTATAAAAGGTAAAAATTTAAAAGTTAAAAGATTACGAAGTTATCCCCTTTAAAATACACAGAAAAATGCTTAAAATATTTTTAAAAATTCTCAAGTACTACAAGACAGGAGCCACAATTTTCACTTATAAGATCCCCAAGGTTAATACGCCGTATGCTGGACTTGAAGGATTGTAAAGTAGGTTTATCCTTGATTTTGCTGTCCAATCTAAACCATATATATGGTCCAAAGTACCTTATTGAAGTTTCCCCTAACGTACACTATTAAATCTGGTTAAATGAAAGTCCATATTTCTGAAGTCATATTTGGCTAACTTAACGCTAAAAAGGTCAACGACATTACTAGGTACCAAGCCATATTTAACTTTATACATTAAGGTAGCAAGATCTTGTAAACGCCGATTTTGTAGGCTAGGTAGATTGGCACAGTTAAGAAGATTAGATTACTCTACTGAATGTGTGTTATACACGATCCTAAGGGCACGCTATTGAACTCTTTCAACTTTTCTGGCGTTGGAGGCTTTACAGAAATGCCATTTAATATGACAATATGTTAAATATGGCAATATCGAGGATTTATATAAAAGCACTTCTGCTTCCTTAGGGATCAGATTTCTTAATCTTGAGAGGACGCCCACTCTCTGGCTAGCTTTTATACACAGTTCACTAATGTGTTTTCTAAATACAAGGTGTTCGTTGATGTTAACTCCCAGAAGGCTAATGTCAGCAGTACTTTCAATGACATGTGCATTGATTGTTAATGAAGCTTGATCCTTATCATTCTGTGAGTTGATCATCAGCAAATGGAATTTATCAGGGTTGACCATAAGATAGTTATCGTTATACTATAGGTCAAGGCTGAAAAGCTGAAAAGTGTTGAAGAAGTCCCTTGGGTTTTCCCTGATCTTTTCCGATTTCATTTTCCCGAATTTTTTAATTGCTTTCTTGCACTCTTTCGTGGCCAGATTTCTGTACTTCCTCTTAAGCTCGAACTTTTCTTCAGTTTTGTCTTTTGCGTATAATTTCGCAAACAGTCTCTTCTTTCTAATGGCTTTTTTCCAGTCTGATGTCATGTATGGGACGTGGTTTTCTCGCATCCGTTTTCTCCTAGTTGGTGCATGATAATTAATTATGTAATTCATTAGTCCGTTCCAGTAATCGATTCTATCGTCGATTTCAGTGAGTATATCACCCACATGCCAGGGAGTGTTTGAAAGGTCATCTGTCAATAGCTCGAGGGCGATGGTTTTTAGATTTCTACACAAGATTGTTTTTGGCTTGTAATGAGTAACTTTCTCATTTAAAGCAATTAATGTATGAATTGTTAATAATAATTTATTATTTTAGTTTGGCATCTCTATCCAAAAAATGTGGTTTACTTCAACTAGTTAATTTTGTATTTTATATGCGTAGGTTATTGGACTTTTCTTGGCAGAAGTAACAAGAAGTCTCCTGCTCTGTTTAAGTTTTTTTACAAATATTCGTACTGCAGCAAGGGCACGAGCCATGGTACTTACAATGGTCTATAGTAAGGTGACAACATTAAGAAATGTGGGGGACAAATCAATTGGAGAGGCAAGTAATACTAGTCAAGATATAATACTACCTAACATGTACTACACAAAGCCAGTAAAATAATTAATGGTACTTTTCCTGCACTCTGATTAGCTAGTCTGGAGGTGCGCTGGGGCTAAGTAGTTTATTTTGTACATGTACAGTGACATAGCTGCCTTAAACCTATTATGCCCAAGCTTAACAGGAATTTGAGCAAAAAATTTATAAGTGTAGGTTATCAGGTGTTCTTAAGAATGATTTTCTCAATTGAACTAAAAATGGGTAATTCTAGAAACAAAGAGTCTGCTGTCGGCAACACCTTTTGCTGTTCGCAGAGAGCTATTTACTTTATCCATACTGAATCTCTTGCCTAAATTGTTTGAACTTATGTTGTTCCGTTGTGTCACTTTTTCGCTATCTATGAGCATTTCCCAGACTCCCTTGCTTAGGATGTCTATCCTGGGTCCTCTCCTTTTTTTTCTGCATGCTTTTATAGTGTCATTAGAAAGTTACAGAGATGCTTGTGACGCCACAGCTTGTGAAGCCAAAGATCATCATTAAGTACCCGGGGGTGGGGGAGGGGGGGGGAAAAAACTTACATGCAAGCCTTGATGTCAACTGATCGACCGTCATCACTCTACAAATAACTTACTTCTTGACACGGACTCTGGTCTGTTTTCTTGGAACTCTTGAAAGCGTTCGACACAGTTGACCACAACCTTTTACTTCATAAGATTAAATCTGAGTTGGTCTCTCAGATGACACTGTTAAGTTCCAGTCATACCTCACGAACGGAAAACAAATGAGGTTTGTTGGAGATATCTCTCTCACTGCACCAATAACTGTTGGGATCCCACAAGGAAGCATATTAGGACCGCTTCTTTTTCTTATCTATGTGAATGATTTGCCATCTGTCAGCTTGCCAGTGAAATTAATCTTGAAACTGATAACACTGTGATTTATTACTCATCGACTGATCAGTTTGACCTTGAAAGCAAGTTAAATTTTGATTTGGCTACAGTTTCCAAATGGTTTTAGAGTAACCTGTTAACCCTAAATATTTCCAAATGAAATTTCGTAATTTTAGTAACTCACAGAAGCTTAAACTGGTCGATGACATTTCCGGCAAAGTAAATTCCACTGCTATTAAAAGGTCTGACTCGTTTAAGTACATGGGAGTTGATATAAACCAAACCGTGTCTTGGTCAGAGCACATGCATTGTTACTATCAGTACAAAGATCAATCAAAAGATTGGAATGATAAGGAGCATACGACATCTTTTACCTTTACATGCTAAGCTTACACTACTACAATAATTATTGCTTAATCATCCCACTGTTTGACTATGGAGACACAGTGTGGGGTGACAAATATAACAACACACTTATGGGCCAGCTGCAAGTCCTTCAAAACGAGGCAGCTAAGGTTTTGTTTAATTTACCACCAAGAAGTTCATCAACCTAGGCACTAGAGCTATTGGACCTGAAGACCCTCTCCTCAAGGAGACATCACATTTCTATCGGTGTGTTATGATGCAAAAATATCTGTCAGGGGAAATTGATTTTGAATTTGACATCAGTAGTGATTTTCATTCTTATCAGACTCGCAAAAGTAATGATTTACGCCTTCCCGGTGTGCGTACCAATTGACGCAAGCAGACTTTTATTTTTCAAGCCTCTAAAGACTGGAACAACCTATACAATGACATTAAAAACAACAAAAATTGTCCCTTTTCAAGGCAAAGCTTATTAAAACTTTGTAATAATGCCTAATCCAATTTTTAAACTATTTTTAAATTAGTTTTTTATGTAAATACCAATTTTTATCTCTACATTTTCTTAGTTTTTGATTTTTTAAGAAGGTGATTTAGCATTTAATTTTTTTTTTCATTTTTTCATTTATTCTTTACCGGGCCCCACTGAAAACCGCTAAGGCAAGTGGGTTCCATGGACAAATATTATGCTTGGGTATCTAAAAGGTAGTAATGCTGCGGCACATTCTGTTGATACTGGAATTAGTTAGGCAGTGAGACTTAAAAGAATCGAAAATGATATTGAATGTCCTATTTACATATTGGAAAGTAACAATTACTGTCAGTCTATAGAAAGAACTCGTGGGAACGTTGTTTAGAAAATGATCGAGTGGTTATCAACTCTGATTTTCCCACAGTAAATTGTAGGAAATGATAGAAATTCAGATTGATTATCCATATACGGGTGTTTAATATCCGGTGTACTATCTTTTCTCTGGAAACAATACTTTTCTTGCTGTTTATTGCACTTTATTAAAAAAGAGTTATTTATGATATATTTATAGAAAACAACAACACAAAATGAGGGGAAAAAAAGAAAGAAGGAAAAAAAGATTCGAGTAGGACTCGAACCCAGCACCTTCGGCTCGACGCGGTAACACATAACCACTACACCACAAACGCTGATTACATAACCGTGGAGAAAAGTTTTTAATTTTATTCCTTTTCCATGAAACTTCCGCCGGCAAGATGATCAAGCCGCATTAACCGAGCATATTCCATAGCAATGAATGAATGAAAGAACATAATTATGCTTTACAAAATGCCGATACACGTCCTTGTATGCAAAATAGGACGCAAAACGTGTGTTTTGTTATCTCGATTTCTGCTGTTATTTTGAAGCTAATGGTCAAAATCACATCCACTTTCGGCTCATACAGGTTCTTAAGAATAGCATGGCATGACATTTTCTCACTTTCACATCACCTCCTAGCAAGCTAGAATTTGTACATCCCCTGTGTTGCGGAGTCAAAGAGCAAATGCTCATCTTCTCGTCAAGTTTAAAGCCCGGACGAGTCAGAGGCTCTTGAATTGAAATCCAATCCTCAAGTTAACTATCGTACTCATCTGAAAGACTCCTGCGTGTCTTAAATTTGGTAAGACCTAATCGTGCTTTAGAAAACTTGCCACAAAGAAACTCTGAGTCTGGGCAGCAAACGATCGATGCACGCTCATTTGAGTTGTTCGCGGCACAATGCATTCTGGTAAAAAGTGATGAATTCGAGAATTTGTTCCACCTTATATATTTCCCTTAAATCCTGATTATGTTGCTGCTCGCTCCCTACGGTCGCTCCGCAGCAAAAATCATCCTTAGCCCTCTTGCATACATAAGAGATGCCCATTGACTCGTGGGAAAGAGTTATCAGTAATTTTCTCACAAAAACGGGGACTTGTTCACACTGTTTTTCCTTTTTGTGCCAATTTTCTAAAAAATGTGCACTTTTACAGCGTCAATGACAGATTCTGCAAGTTACTATTTATGTTGGACATTTGCCCAAAATATTGATATCAGGAAAAATAGTGTTTTGAATAAAGACAAACATATTTATACAAGCCTTTTATCAGTACACCTAATATTTTCCTTCTTTAGATGTCTGGATTGTATTTTTTTTTTCTTACCATGATCTAAAATTCATAAGTAGTGTGCATGCTGTGCTTTTAGTTTTAATGTGTAAAATTTGTGCCTTATAAACGAGTAAAAGAAATAATAATGATCATCATCATCATCATCATCATTATTATTTTTATTGACCGCCTGGACTTAAACGGAAAAAATGCCTGACTACGCCCCTGATGTAAGTTAATTATTTTTCAAATAAAATCACTTCGTCTAATAGTATTGATATCATTGTTTACTATCAAAAAAGGGAATGCCGCTGGCCTCTACCTTGCAGACCCACATAAATTATTTGTAAATATAGTTACAGGCATGCGCCATCAACATTTATTTATTTTATTCCCTTTTTTGCGAGCCACAGTTTTTTGCCTTGTCTTTCCATTTTGTTCTTATTTTACTTGCATTAAATGCATTTTTAGACCCAACAGCCCCTGTTTAGTGTTAACCATTTACTGGCTCCTGGTAGCCAAACATTCCAGTTTGAAAGTTAAAATGGAACACAACTTTTCCAGTCTGTGATGTACTTGGATGAGAAGATCACACACTCGGTACAAATTTCTAGTCCACACGTCGGTAGTTTCGAAGACCGAAGCACGAAGCACCCAAAAATCTCGAAAACGAAGCACCCAAAACTCGAAAACGAAGCACTCAAAACTCGGAAACGAAGACCCCTAAATCTCGAAAACGAAGCACCCAAAACTCGAAACCACTGTAAGTTTAATAAGTGCAACTTTACGTCTTACATGACGCGATCCGAATCAGGTGGAGGCAGCGGATGCGTCCGCACCTTCAAAGGTCCACAAAATCCATCCCAAGGTTTTATAACCAACTGTTTCACTGAACGATTCTAGATAGGATATCCTGTATTAATTTTATTATTAGTCTCGCTATACTTGATACATCTTACCCTAATATGCATTTTTTCGGTACACATACATGTTTATGTAGACTTCAAAACTGTCCGTCAGCAGATTTTGGCGTATTCAAGTACGCGGTAACACAAAATGTCTGAAACGAGGCTGAAAACGGAGTGTGAGGCTCGCGCGTATTACTCTTACGCCACGCTTTACCGACTTCTTCACTGATTTTGGGAAAAAAACCGATTGTTTTGCCGTCTAACATATTGGGAATCTATGACACTGCGTGATCAGATCAGATCAGATCCAGGCAGAATTTGTTCTAGGATAATGGCCTGGGACCAGGCTCTATGGTGGGGAACAGGAGAATTCGATTCGTTATCGTGCTTGATTCCTGCTGTATTAGAATTGGTCTCGTGTTTATAAAGGACAGACCGGTTTCGAGTTTTTGGGTGCTTCGTTTTCGATCTAGGGTGCTCCGTTTTCGAGATTTAGGGGGTTTCGTTTTCGAGTTTTGGGTGCTTCGTTTTCGAGATAGGGTGCTTCGTTTACGATGTAGGGTGCTTCGTTTTCGAGATTTGGGTGCTTCGTGCTTCGGTCTTCGTTTTCGAGTGCTTCGTTTTCGAAACTACCTCCACACGTCATTAGTAAATCTTGTTTAACCCACTGTTTCCTTTCACCGCTCCTTCAAGAGCAAATACAAATACATCGACGATACTCGATACTTGAAAACTTGTTTATGCAACGGAATCAAACTGAACTGTCAAACTACAAAAGGGAAAATACAATCCAAGTGAAAACATCGACGCTTAGGCTCAAAATTTTGTGACCGACTGACCACAAGTTAGTCACTTGCTCGAAAATACATGAATAATAAATTCGCGGGATAAAGACGCAACACAGTCATTCCCCATCGAAGCATCCAGCATTTTCCACCAGAGTGTGACTGTTATATATGTGTCAATTTACTCAAGTGTAAAAGAATTCTTTTTTTGAGTGGAAAATGCCCATGGTTTTAAAATAACGGTCAAATAATTAGATGTCTTAACAAATGCTTGAAGTGCTAAGTAAATTACATGTTATGGGAATTACAGTTGAGTTGAGCACAAAATTGGCTGCTGTGAGTAATTTTACTGCTTGGTACTTTGTTGTGTTGCGCCTCCTGTAAATACACTTAGTACAATATGTGTATAAATTATGGTTTACATGTACACTTAAATCATTCACTTGTCTTTTTTTGTAATAGTGTTGTATGTTTCTCTGTACAATAGCAGTAAATTAATGTTTATTTTATACATGTATGTCTTAATGCATCTGCATAATTATAATGCCTAATTAAGTGAAAAGATGTCGTAGATGCTACATCTTTGGTTCATACTCAGTCAGTGCTGATCATTTTTTTTTTGTTCACATCACCTATTAGTTTGTGAATTTGTGTGCATCTGATGCTGAAAGGGTCTCCCAAGGAGTGATATTTAGTAGCTTTGTTCTAGGTAAGAATAATACGTTAGAATTACTAAATTTCATTAGGATTCGATCATATTTATACTGTCAAGCTTAATCTTTGATTTGAAATTTTGTTTGCTCTTGTTTAATGTTGTTTAAGAAAAATGATGCTTTGTTCCAGACTTGAATCTTATAATCTCACATCTACATAAAGAACAACTGTGAAAGCAGAATATAATATTACCTGCCAACTCATAATCAGGCGCGCTAACCATATAACTGCAATTCAAAAACTTCGATCTCATTCCTAACCACACATTTAGACCAATTTCTCACCCCTATTAACAGAAAAATTGCAGCCGTTTCTGACACATTTTTGAGAAATTTATAATTTAAAAAAAGTGTACCAAACTCATTGCCAGAAAAGGCCATGCTAATTGTGCACGTTTTTGATAATCTCCGATTTTGGAACTTTGTTTAGGGAGCAGTCATTATTTTTCTTGAGAATTTCAGAATTTTTTCAGAATGACTTGGGAAATCTTTGAAAGTCGTTTTGACATGATTGGGTCCCCCATGAAAAGTACTGGCACCCTCTAGATGAGGATTATTGTCATGTGTGCGACTCACAAACAGCTGACAGGTGTAATAATAATAATAATATCACTGTTTGAATGTCCCTATGTTATTCAAGAAGCCTAGTATGAAGAAAAATTCTGATTCCCAGTTTCTGACCCGGGACAAATTTGCTGAGAATTCTACATGTGATTCAATTGAAGGCTGGATGTTCTTAGTATCTCTGTTTTATATATATTTTCAAATAGTTTGAATTTTCTTTTCTTTAATTTCTTAGGTGTTATTTATAGCTCTATCAGAGACAATAATACATGATACTAATAATACAATAAAAAAATGATTGGTTCTCAAAAAAATTCAGGAACCATTTCGAAAAGAATTAAAACATTTATTTATCAAGTTAACCCAAACAACATTTTAAAATGAGTGATAACAAACAATGCTAGACAGCATGTTGGTAGCAATGCAGGTCACAGGTCACAAGTGCAGGTTAGAGTACAGGTCCCTATGCTAAGGTAAATAATTAAACAATGCTAAAAGTGTGTCCTAGCTCTAATAATCACAATCCAAAATAGAATTTATGCTTAAGGGGAAACTGTTCAGTATCTGAGTTTTTGATAATTATCAATAGAGCAGCGACCTGTTACCTGTGTTTCCTACCTGCCAGATAAAATAAGAAATGGGAACAAAACAATTTGTACAACCAAGTGAAAAGTAGCTTGACCAACCTTGTTATTTACTCTTGATAATGGGGAATGCTGTTGTCGAGACATTGTGTTTGTATCTCTCAAAAGGTGGATTGTGAGGTGATCCCTATAAAAAGTCCCCTAACTGAACTTTAAAAATATTAAAAAATTATTTAAAAAATGCGCGTAAAAAAAAAGGCAGAGTTGTCTGAAGGATGCATGGTTCCCTTTACTCCCGGATTAGTCCTAAACACTCCATCCGACAACTTGGCTTAGTATTATTATTAGTAACAGCACAAGTTAACTATGTTACTGCAAATTATTAACAAACAGTATTTTGTTGATTTTAAATTTAATGTTCTAACTTTTTTCAAGCTTTCCCTGTGATTATTGTATGCACCACTATCTACACAATCCTTTACATTGGGCCATCTGCTTTGATAGGATGTGGCTTGTTTGCTCTTTTTTTCCCGGTTCAGGTAAATGCATGTAAAATATGTAAGATAATTGAAAGGTGTATTACCTAAAAGGAAAAAATACAACAAGGCTTACACAACAGTTTTTCAAGTTCCGGGGACTACTGGATTCAAGTGCATAGCAAAGCCAGGGGGTTGTGGTGGTACTGTTGTTTTTCATAGGTTGCATGAAATGAAAACTTTAACTGCCTCATCTCTGTGTTTGGTAACTCACTCTTGTGCAAAAAATAGCCGTGAAATTTCAGACAGTTTTACAGTTGCAAAAAGCACTGAACAAATAGCAGGGAAACGCCTTGTCATTTTCAAAATTTTTTGGCATCTTTTCTTCTTTAATGATTACTCTATTGTTATTATCATTATTTTTATTATTTCTCACAAAACGTGGAGGCCCAAGGTCCCCCTGGCCCTTCCCCCAGCGCTGGCTTTGTACAAACATTCATTCATTCATCACCGGTAGAAAGCTTTTTGACCACATAGTCATGAATTTTTCTATCCAGTACCATACATTTTGGTTAATTTTTTATATGTTTACAGAACACTGCATGAATGTTGATAGTGAGTTCTAAGCTGTTGTCACTTTTCTTTTTTTTAAGGCAATCATTGGTAGAGTTGCAGGAAGATTCCGCTCCAAAGTGGTTGCAATCTCAGATAGAAGGGTAATGACACTCCTCAGGCAACTTGAAAGCAAAGACGACCCAAAACTTGAAAACACATTTTCTCTTCCCTCAAATTGACCGAGCAGAAAGGCCTCAAGAAAATAGTTTCCCACTTTTGCATTCCTCTGGTGGCCTAACCACTCATTTATGCATGTGCTCTTTTAGAAACCGCCTGCTACACATTCCACTGTCTAGCCCAGTGACTGGTCCGATTTTACTATCCAGTCCACACTGCATGGTTTCACCTAAAATGTTTAACCATAAAGGGGAAAAAGGGGTAAAGGAGAGGAGAATATTGCGTTGCTATCACCCAGGCTTAAGTGTTGGAAAGTGACGCCAGTGTGTGAGCTGCATCTCAAAGGGCGCTACTAATAATTGAAAATTAGCCTTTGCTTTTATCCCATGCTGAAAAAATACACTGTGACTTTAACAAAGAAGTGTGCTGAATTCCTAAAAATAAAACTAAGTATACACTCTGAAACACTAAGTACAGAGCAAACATTAAAAATTTAAACTCATCTGTTTTTCCCGATTTTTTACTGACAGGAGTGGGCATCTGTACGCAGGCTAAACAAATGTTTGTAAATTGATAATTGTTCTGAAAGTATCAGTGGAATTTGTAAGTATTAAGCATCATTAAAGAAAAAGGTTATACTTTTCAGGTACGAATGATGAGTGAAATATTAAACTGCATCAAACTGATCAAGATGTATGCATGGGAAAAACCATTTGCCAAGGCTGTAATTGGTATGTGCATTTTTGTTCTTAATACATTTGTAAGTCTAATAATTAAAAATACAATTTTCATCTGTATAATTATCTCAAAAGAAGCAATTACAACTGCTGTCAAAAACATAGAAAGTTTTTTCGTGGAAAAAAAAACTTTTGCCCTCAGTCACGGTTGAGTTGTTTTCCACACAAATCCTTGTAAATTTTGAAATTTTCAAACTGTCGTAATCTTTCCCCTACCCCAACATCTCGCGTGGGTTGTGTGTGATGTATTGCTTAAGCATTCATTTAGCCAACTTTTCCCTGTGCTTTTTGCAGCTATTCGTCGTGCTGAACGCAAAGCCCTTGTAAAGGGTTCCTTTCTCCAGGGATTGAACATGGCAGTAGCCTTAATTATTCCAACTATGGCAACAGTGGGTACATTTTGTGTGCATGTTGCCGCTGGCAAAGATCTCAGTACATCACAGGTGTGTATTAAACAGTTCTATCTTGATTTTCTTGCTGTCATTTGACATATATTTCATTCATAGAGTTTTATGCTTTCAGGCATTCACAGTGACAACAATATTCAGTGTTATATTATTTTCTTTGGCTGTTTTACCATTTGGCATAAGAGGTATTGCTGAGGCCAGGATTGCACTGAAGAGAGTTCAGGTATTCAAATTTCATCCCATTAAAACGGTTTAGTTAAATGGATTATCTTATGTTTTACTGAAAACTGTCCTAAAAAATTATGAAGAGCAACTGAACAAGTTGCTGGTGCCTTTTTTTCCACCAGAATCTATCTTTGAATTAATGTTTTAGTGCAGTGAACATATTCTGTACAATAATTATTATGCTATTGATGATCTTTCAGATTAAGTAAACAACTTTAAATTTATAATTATTCACACCTTCTTCTTTTTAGGGAAGAAATCCCACCTCTTTTAAACGTTACAGTGTGTTATTATCTTAATTTTTCTTGAGAACGTTTGTGTCTGTCATGAAAACCACTCCCTGGTTGGAGATAAATTTTCAACCAACACGTATGGGCTGGATTTTAAACCTCCTGAGTACATATTTGTAGTCAGATTTTGTGAAAAACGAGACAGTGCAGTGTTCCATTGTTTTTAATGACAGTCAACTGCTATTTTGTAGAGTTTGATGGTGATGGAGGAACTTGAACCTTTTGTTGAGAAGCCTTCAGATCCACTGGTGTCTGTATCAATATCAGAAGCAACATTTGCTTGGGACAAGGTGCATGTTTCATTCTTAACTGGATATAGATACGAATGTAGAACGTATCATAGGAAGCATGTTATAACTTAATTTTGCGTTCAAGGCAGGGTTGTGGATTTGTTCTTTAGTTTTGGTATAAGTGTTGTAATTAGTAAGTGAAAATAAAGAAAACTTGAAACATAAATCGACCGTCAAAAGTGAGAGAAAAATTGCCACATTTTCTTAAGGGGAATCCTGTATCTAGGCGCAATTTCATAGCAACAGATTTTGTTATTGAATAACCACCAAGTAAGGGTGCGGGGGAAAGGGCGACGAATTCTGTCATGAAACGGTCGATCAGAGAAACGATTTGTCTGACGTGTGAAAGACATTGTTCGTATCTCCAGCTGGCTAAAACTCAGTTTGTGAGCAAAAAAAGTAATGCATGATATGGCTGCTTTTCTGCGAGTATGTCTTTGTATGTGTGTGATGAAAATGTTTTGCTGCATAGCTCTCAGTATGACGAAAGTAATGGAACGTAGAATTAACTTCAGTTTCGCTGTAGCCCGGACCTGTTTATATGCGTGTTGGTTGTTTTTTGATTTGCGTTTTTCAGAATGAAAGATTCAACCGATTTGTATGATTTTTGGCATCCTTAATAATGCAACGAAAGCCCTTGTATTTGGTAATTTGTTCAAGCTTTTTAGACTTGCCATCACATTCGCACGGGAAGTTTACCACTTGGGAATAAAGATGAAGACAAATATGACAATCGTCTTATTCTTCTCATTATCCCCAACAGCAAACTGCCCGTGCGAATGTGACGGTAAATCTTAAAAGCGTGAATAAATTACCAAATACAAGGGTTTTCATTGCAGCTGAAAAATGGATGGTTAGAAGTACTGGAGTTGGTGGCCTTATTTCTCTTCAAAACGGGAACCTGCGACGCTAAAAACTCTTCACAGTTTTTCGTAGACGCTATATTTTGCTTTGTGAAAGGTTTGAACCCAGGAGGCATTTCAAAAGTAGGTTGAGTTTGATCGTCCGGGTGAACGTAGTCCTGAATAAGACTGTTGTTGTTGACAGTGACTGACGTTTCGACAACCTGTGCGGTAGTCATCTTCAGAGTCAAAGTGAGTTGTATCACGTCAGTTGATGGTATTATACTCTGGTTATTGATTTGATTGGTCAATTACGTCGTGATGTTATTGGTCGTCTGTCAGTTAAGCTGTGATGTTATTGGCTATGAAGACTCGTAATCAGTAATTGGTGCGTTTCGAACAGTCTTTTGTCACAGTTAGTCGTCTATTGTTAGTCAGATTGTCATTCTCTCGTAGTTAGTTTTGCTTGATCTCGTCAATAAGTCGTTTGTGCGGCGCTGGTAACTGTTGGCTACGATTCAGTGGCGTTTGTTCTAATATTTTGCTTTGTTAAGATTTGTGTCCAAAAGAGATGGACAAATACAAAGTAAGTTTGATGAATAGAGTTTCTTTAATATCACCGCGCACTCAGCTTAAAATTGTTCTTCTTAAAGTGCTAACTGTATTCGCCGTATGTTTCTGATTACTCCGTTTCTTGCAATAAAGCTTTAGGTAGGAATATCCTTTAAGACAGGAGATAGTCTGTCGGCAGTCTTCCTCTATTTGTGCGTTAACTTTCACAAATGTGTTAGCGTAGCATTTTAAGGTTAAATTTGACCAGCATATTGTGCAGCGAGTTCTAGGGTCACGATTGCCTTCAAACTTGGAGATGTAAAACTATAGAGCTCTTAGGCTTATTTGCTGATGTTAGGTAAAAAATGCGCTTTTAAATATATGCCGATATCTCAAAGGTTTTTATACCTACAAAAAAATAAATAACATTTTCTTTAAGTTCCATTATTATTTATTAAGGATGTCAAAAATCATAGAAATCGGTTGAATCTTTCATTCTGAAAAATGCAAATCAAAAACATAACCAACACGCATATAAATAGGTTCGGACCACCTTAATTTATGTCACTTTGGTATGCGATGCATCGTTGAAATCTACCTTTGATCTCAAAGTAACGCGGTAACACTCTCAAAGGAAGAAGTATGTGCCCTTACGCTGTACACTCTGTTTGGTGGTGCTTTTTTTGGTGATAGTTACGTTTTTCAAAAGATGTTGATGCACAGGTTAGTCAGCTTTGAGAGAGTTTTCCTCTACGTAAAATAGCTACCTATATACTTACAGGTCAAACCAAGGGCAGAAAATAAAGGGAAAGGTGGCTTTGGTGCTAGGAATGGCTCAAAACAAGATGATGGTCAGTGCTGAAAGGATATCTTCTTACGTTGTATTAAATCCTTATAATTTACCCAATTTTATAAAGTAGATAAAAATGATGACATAGCAATTTGTCACTCCTGGTTACCTCAGCAGATACCCAGCTTATTGAAGCAAAACATACTGCTAGCAAAAGAAAAGAAAATGGTCAGAAGGGTGGAGCCGGGCAGGGTAGGCGGGGTCCAACCCCTCTTGAAGTCAAAACCATGTTGGAACCAGCACTGTTCGATATTGATCTCACAGTTCACAAGGTATATTAAATGAATGGAATGTGTTTAGCCCTTTTTTGTGATTGGTTTGTGTTTTTATGGTACTATATCTAGTTAACTGTGGTTTTCTTTGCATTAGTATTATGTTGGTTAGTTATAGCGAGTAATGCAGTGCACTGTTAGCATTGTGCTCTGATAGTGACTCTTGTTATTTTTCTAGAAAACACTTGTTGGAATTTGTGGCAGTGTGGGAAGTGGCAAGAGCTCACTTTTGCAGGCTCTCCTAGGGCAGGTAGGTAAATAGTAAAGTTGGCTTAAATAGAATGTTGGAGAAAGAAACCAGTATGAAGGCACTCCTTGAGGCGGCTCATGTTTTGTTGTGTTTCCTCTGATCTGTCTCTTTGTGCCGTGCAATTATACCTTAATCCGTCAGACAAACTGCCTATGTGGCAAGCCCAAATATTGATTTAAAAATACCTTTATACTTCTGTTGTAACATGTTTCTTGTTAGATGAGGGTACAGAAGGGTAATGTGATGCTAGGCGGGTCAACAGCTTATGCAGCTCAGCAGGTTGGTACCATTCCTCCACTGATTTTTGTCCCATTTTCACTTCTTTGTTGTTTACATACAAACTCAGCAGATCTGATATACTCAGACAACAGTCGCCAAAAAACGATAACAACAACTACAAAAATAGAAAAGAAATTAGACAATTTGCTTTGATAGTACTTTGTTCACCGCAATACATGTATCTGAAAACTTTCAAAGTCGTAGTGTTCCTGTAGGCGTGGTGCCTTTTACAAGCCACGTATTTGTGTCAGCAAAGTGGGCTGATACTGCTTAGATCTAGCTTTACAAGTAAGATTTTTATGTTGCTTATGATGCTAAGGGATCGGTTAAAATGGCATTGCGGCTGTAAAATTCCAAAGATGAACTGCGATTCTCGTTTAATTGTGTAAATTATGACGTTTTGGTTTCAAAACCTGAGTTGAGTAAGTGAAAAATATATTTGTCCACACCTAAACGAATATAGCAAATCAGATCAAAAATCGCTTATAGACTTTCATAAGCTTGTTGCTCATGGATGTTTTCCCCCAATATTTGATTGGCCCAGAGACCATTACGCTATCTCCAGGCCCCAGTTGTTCAAACGCTGGATAGCGCTCTTCACCGAGTTAATCAGTTTCCAGCGGAAAAGTTTTAGGGAGACCAATTGCTTTATCCACTGGATGATGGCACTATCCAAATTTTCAACTACTGAGGTCCGATAACTGACTGCTGCACTTAGGTGCAGGTTAACCGCTGTCTTTGGGGGACAATGGTGACTTTGCACCCCACCACCTCCTCGTCACAAAAGTACAAAGAAAAACAAACATACGGGGAGATTGATGAAACTATTGCATGGACGATGTTTAACAAATATCGTGATTTGTCTCTCAGATATTTATTTTTTTATCACCAGTAACAAGTCGTGATATTTCGCTAGTTATATACTCGTGCTGATACAAGGTAGAGCGCTTGTGAGGGAATACAAACTTTTCGTTGAAAGAAAGGTAAAACTATTCAAGGTTTTAATGATCTCCTTTTAAATTCTATCTGGTTATAGGCATGGATAATGAATGCAACTGTAAGGGATAACATTCTGCTAGGAAAACCATATCATGAAGCACGGTAATACACTTAATATTCTGTTAAATATACAGATACATATACATAAATGATAACAATATCTCTCCTCGCTACATACACCTATTGCTACGTCTGGCCATCAATATCACTTTTAAGGACGATCATTATCGGAAGTTGTTTTGCCTTATAGTGGCAATTTCAGGAATTGAAAGACCAACACACAGCTGAAAATGAAATTATCAACTGTTGAAGTGAGCATATTCGGTCATTTCTTAAAAACTCCATGCGTGAAGTTCATCTTGGAACTTAAGTGAAGCAATGAATGATTTTTCTTGCGCAAGGAGTGTAAGATGGCGCATGTGGTGTAATAGGATTCTGCAACAGGACGCTGAATGGTAAAGAGAGTTGTTATTTAGTTGCTTCCAAAGTAATCATACCAAAATTACACTTATCTAATGTACAGGCATGTCAAGTAGAACGGGTACTGCATGTACTACTTTCAAAACAATTTTTTATTGTATATTTCAATTTTGTTGTTAGGTACAATGCTGCATGTTTTGCCTGTAGCTTGGAACAGGACTTGAAGATTTTACCCAGTGGTGATCAAACAGAAGTGAATAAAAATTACAATTATAAGTATATTTTTGACGTTCTTTACAGTATATTGCTTCTCTGTGTCTTAATATCCTCGTATTTAATGTATCTCTTATAAACACAACATTTAACAATAATTGGATGAGGCTGAGTATTATCTGAAGAATTATGGAGATCGAGATGGGTGTTGTCCGCCTAGGCTGATTAACACCCTGCGAGATCTCCAAAATTCTTCAGATGATAAGAAAGCCGAATTCAATAATTGCTTTATTATTCATTCAAAATAATTCCTAGTTTATAAACAAGCTAAAGCATACTTACCTCCATCGATGCTAAGTTCATCTTCGATAGTGCAAGTTCAACGACAAGTTTACGAGGTAAAGGGTTGTTCAGTTCTGCAAATATTCTCCAAATAGCGGATGTCGTCTGTCGAGTTGTCGTCTTGCTGTTCTTGCTCTGTTTTTGGCCAATACTTCGCCTGTTTCTTCCTCGTGAAATGAGTGAACTGTTCCGTCATTTATATTCTAATTCGCTACCCCGCTCAAACGAATATAAAACATTTATCATGTAACAAGCAACCTCAATTGGGGTGTGTCAACACGAGCCGTGTGCGACCCTCTTTATTATGCCTTCATCAACAGAATGGATGGAAATAATACAACAAACAGAATGAAAACTCGGAAATGTAAAAAATTACAGCAAGAAAAACAACCCAACAAAATGATCTTAACTATGCTCGTATAACCATGATTCAGTAAACATACAAAACGTGCTAAACCTTTCATATAGCAGCATGCAAAAAACTACGTCTAAGAGAAACCCCTGATCACTGGGTATTTAATTTTGAGGGCGTAGGGACGGTCGTAAGACGCGAATGAATATAAATGAGAACAACTCAAATATATGTAGCCTACCGCTAATGAAGCAACAGAACAGCATACCATGTAACACCCCAAAGAAAAGATTACATAACCCATGATAAATACATTTTGTACCCACTACCAAAACAACTCAAACCTCTTCCCCGGGTCTTCTCGGGTTAACCGTTCAGTTTTTTGGCAATTATGCTGCGAAATTGATGTCATTTCTTACATATCGCAAAATTCTTCCAAATTTGGTCGATAGTAGCTGGTTATGATGAATTATGTGTGGGATTTTAGCCAATCAGAAGCGGAGAAATATTTTGGAATGAATAGTAATATATCTTATATGCAGCCTTTCTTGGAAAGGGAGATAAAGTTTATGTCCTGGATTATATTTGACTCTAAAAATACCAAGTATACATTTTAAATGGAAATTTCATGCCTGCCTTTTCGAGATATTTAGGGTTTTTGGGTCATTTTGGGGTTTAGGTTGTTCTGTTTTAATGGAACAATTTGTAAGCTCCAGTGGATTCCTTATATTTTGTTCAATCGACGATACGTAAGGAAAATATTACAAAGGAGTGCAGGTGACAGTTGTTTATTCAAACGCCATCTGCATATTTCCAGTTAAGATGAAGGCTTAACCCCTCCCCCAATTCAGAAAATTCCTCATAGTTTCACCGTTTTATTTTTCACCTTGTGGTGACCATAAATGTCCGTTCCCAAACACTGTTAAACAAACGATCAATGACACTTTGCTATGTTCTTGATAATAATCGTCGAGGCTTGAATAGCTGTGTGTAACTTTGAATGTGCTCGCTGATAAGAACAAAACTTGTTGATAAAGCTCGTGTGCTAGGGAATGTTTATTGAGTTGTTTCTGTTTGGTGTAATTATTTTGTAGATTGGAGAGCGAGGAATCAACCTTAGTGGAGGGCAAAAGCAGAGAATCAGCTTAGCAAGAGCATTGTATGCTGACAAGGTGATGACTATATGTAGCCTGTTTCACTTGCTGATGTTTTGCGAGTAGTGTTAACACGGGCCTAGGCCAAACGTCGAAATTTTCATGAGACGAACCAAAGTTAGTGAGTTAAGTCCATGAAAAGTTCGACGTCTGGCTCAGTTGAATTCGTCTAAATGAGTTTGGATCGTCCAACACAGAACGTCTGAATATCGTCTCCGGGACAAACGTCGATCTTCACATGCGACGAACTAAACTAATGAATTAAAAATTTGTGTAATGTACTTTTAGCCTCATTCGGGAGAAAATGTATTAAAATTGCTTTTAGGTCTGGTTTAGTTGATTGGTTCAACGCGTCTTAGGTTCGACGCCTGACCCAACAGACGATTTTAACATTAATTTAGGTCGACGCAAATTAAAGTTTGGGTCGTCTCATGAAATGTTCGAAGTTTGGCCTATGCCAGAGGTGTCTTTCACGATGCGAATAGTTGGCTGACGGCAAATCGCTTCCAAACATGTTTCGCCGCTAAACTAGCGTACGAAAACTAAAGAGACCGTGTTTCCCATGCTCCTCTTCTTCCCTGTTTCTCAAATTAGAGACGATTGGAAAGAAGAAGACATCTTAATTAGATATGAATTATTTTGTTCGCAGGACATATATTTGTTGGACGATCCGTTGAGCGCAGTAGATGCCCATGTAGGACTTCACATTTTTAAGCACTGTATTAAAGGATCCCTCCGGAACAAAACCGTCCTGTTTGCTACACACCAGTTGCAGGTAATGCCGTGCTCTGTGTTGTGTGCTTAGTTGTTTTATGTGAACAACCTATGAATTTGTTGGTGAGGTGTTGCAGTCTTCCATCTTGTTAAGTTCTGTCCGCCACAACTCGCTAAATAAACACATTTTACACATAAAATTTATAAACAATAAACTGGTAAATTACTTTTATGGAGATTGTTGATTGATGGTATATTGAAGCGCATGAAGTATGTTTCTAGTTCCCATGATCCTTCACTTCGAACCATGTGCTCTCCTAATGGCGGTTGACGAATAAACCCATGTTGTTGTCGTGTTCCTCGTTCTCCACTCTAACAAATCAACATGATGGCAGCCTGGGGATTTAGTTAAGGAAATGACGGCTACAGAAACTGGGCTGTTTAGACTTCCTCCCCAACTAGATGTGAATTCGGGAAATGTGCCCGAGAACTTCAAACGGTGGAAACGGCAAGTGGAAGTGTACTTAGCAGCTTCTGGAGCTTCAGAGAAAGACGATAAAGTACAAACTGCCATCATTTTAAACTGTGCAGGCCCTCATGTTCTCGAAGTGTACGATACTTTTATTTGGACAGATAATGGCGATAAAGATATACCCGATAAAGTTTTAGAAGCATTGGAAAGATACTGCAACCCGCCTGACAATGAAGTCATCGAATCTCACAGATTCTGGAACATTCCATACCAGGAACCGTTCGACACAAACCTCACACAAAAGGAGAGAAAAGTTAAAATTCAACTGCAAATTTTGTGGATACAAACATGAGAAACAAAGAGTCAAAAATCCTGCTTGGGGCAAGACATTTGACAACTGCAAAGGTCTTAACCACTTCAAGACTAAATGCAAAAATATTCATCCACTTAACCAATCCAATGATAATGAGGAAGATTCCGATGATCAATGGCTCATGGCTGTAAGCAATCGGACAGACAGTGTTACTTCCACACTTAATTTAAATGATATTGATGTCAAATTCCAACTTGACACTGCAGCTGATGTAAATACCATCTGTCAGAAACATGTAAGACAACACCAAGTGTCTCCTACAACTGTTCGCCTTAACATGTGGAATAAAACTAACCTGAAACCTCTGGGAGAAACGCGCCTGATCATAAAAATCCTCGCACTAGTTCTGAATCAGAAATAAAGTTTATCGTGGTCCCAAATGGTTTCACAAACCTGTTAGGTCTGAACACTATTCAGGAACTTGGTTTTATAACCATAAATAAAGAACGTTTCATCTCACAAGTATCAACCCCACAACTTGGTGATCTGGGCGAAGCCACCCTCAGAATTGATGAAAGTGTTCCTCCCAAAGTATTGCCTGGTAGGAAAGTTCTTATTGCCATTCAAGACGCAGTAAAGGAGGAACTAGATCGACTTGTAAACAAAGGCGTACTGGTTCCAGTGACCGAACCAACTGAATGGGTCAGTCAAATGGCGGTTATACATAAACCCAATGGTAAATTGCGCATTTGTATTTATCCTCAACCCCTATATGCTGTACTCAAGCGTGAACATTAGCGATTACATGTGCTTTATGATGTGCTTCCTAAGCTTAAAGATGCAAAGATCTTTAGCAAACTAGATGTAAAAGAAGCGTATTGGCATGTTCGACTTGATGAAGCATCCAGCAAACCCACCACAATGATTACACCTTTTGGTCGCTACATGTGGAAGCTAATTGTACTTTATGATGTGCTTCCTAAGCTTAAAGATACGAAGATCTTTAGCAAACTAGATGTAAAAGAAGCGTATTGGCATGTTCGACTTGATGAAGCATTCAGCAAACTCACCACAATGATTACACCTTTTGGTCGCTACATGTGGAAGAGGCTACCCTTTGGCCTCAAAGTCTCAAGTAAAATTTTCCAGCGCAAGATTGATGAGGCGCTAGGTGATCTCGATGTTGTATTCAATATAGTGGTTGATGTAGTCATTGTAGGGTGTGGCAACTCAGATGCTAAAGCTCAGAGTGACAACCAGCAAAAACTAGCAGTGACATTGAAAAGGTGTGCTGAGAAGAGCATTATCCTAAATGAGGATAAGCAACAAACTGGTCTGGATGAGATCATATTTCATGGACACAGAATCACGAAAGACCGTGTGAAAGTTGATAAAGCTTAAGTGCAAGCTATCCGAGACATGCCAGCACCCACTGATGTGGAATGTGTGAAGCGCCTATGTGGCATGGCTCAGTACATGACAAAGTTCTTACCCAACTTTGCAGCAACACTTGAACCAATCCGTGCTCTAACTAGAAAGGAGACCCCATTTGTATAGTCGAAAGAATGTGAAGATGCTTTCAACACACTCAAGAAAATCTGTCTGAGTCTCCTTGCTCAGCTTACTTTGACTCCTCGAAAGAAGTGGTAATTCAAGGAGACAGTAGCAAACATGGAATTGGTGCCGTGCTACTCCAAGGAGGGCGTCCTATTGAGTACGCATCTAGAGCATTGACCCCTTCAGAACGAAATTGGGCTCAGATAGAGAAAGAAGATTTGGCTGTCCTTTATGGCCTTGAACGATTTAATCAGTATGCTTATGGTCGTGCAGTAGCAGTACAGAATTACTAACAACTTCTTGCTGCCATACTACGCAAGCCGCTGAGCGTGGCTCCAAAGCGTCTTCAAGACATCATGATGCGTTTTAACCGGTATGATGTCAACTTTGTATTTGTGAAAGGCACTAATCTACACATTGCCGACACCTTAAGTAGAGCTCATTTAGACTCTGTTGAAGGTAACCAGGACGACCGTGCACGAATATATACCTTTGCTGAAATCCCAGATAAGCGTTTGGACGAGATAAGAGAAGCAACTTTGCGCGACACTAGCTTACAAACCGTTATCAAGTTAGTCTTGGATGGATGGCCTCAAGACAAGCACAATATTCCCCCTCAAGCCTTACCTTATTTTGACATCCGTGACTCTCTCAGTATAGTAGATCGCATCTTAGTAAAAGGAGAAGCAATAGTAAGTCCATCTGAACCGAGAGCATCTATCAAGAAAAGACTCCATAGTGCACATCTAGGCTGTGAAAGTATGAAGCGTCGAGCTAGAGGCATTGTTTTCTGGCCTGGCATGGCCCATGATATTAAACAGTTAGCCGATTCGTGTGAAACCTGCCAAGAAATGAAGCTACGAAACACTTAACAACCATTGAAACAACACAACGAAGGCGATAGACCTTGACAAAAGATTGGTTTGGATTTCTTTGAAATCGCAGGAAAGCACTACTTGATTGTGGTGCACTATTACTCTAATTTCATAGAGATTGATCTACTGACAAGCCAAACACGCACCCGTACCATAAGTCTTCTCAAGCAACATTTTGCGTGGTACGGCATACCAATAGTAATCGTGTCAGATGGAGGTCCCCAATTTACCAGTCAAGAGTTTAACTCATTCATGACAAACTGGGGTATTTCCCATCATACATCATCACCCATGCATCAATGTGCTAACGACAAAGCAGACTCCGCTGTGAAGATTATGAAATCCTTGCTAATCAAAACTTACAAGGATGTTGGCGATCCCTATGAAGCCATACTCGAACAACGAAACACCCCTCGTCAGGACACTGCTTTGAGTCCGACGCAAATGATGTTTAACCGCAAAACACGTAGTTTCTTATCAAGCTTAAGCAGTAACCCAAAGAACACTCTTGTGAAAGGAAAACGTGATGCGCGAAAACGGAGCGTGAAAACATATCAAGATCGGAGATTACGCAAACTCTCAGTTATTGAAATTGGACAGTAAGTATTCTACCGACACACAGAAGGTCAGAACTGGAAGTGGAGCAAGGTAACTGGAATTTTAGGCCCTTATACGTACTAAGTGGAAGGTGCCGATGACGGCAAGTACAGAAGAAACCGTGTCCATCCAAGACCCACCAAAGTAGTAAGAACTCCTCGCGATGTATCTCCTATCGTTTTGTCTGGTACTCCTGACCAAGTATTAAATTCAGCCGTGCCTACAGTTCCTCAAACTCCAACCACTGGCGCTGAGGCCAAAGAAAGTCATTCGCATAGTGAGGCAACTACTCCTATTAAGAGTCCCGCACCACACAGGCCTAAACGTGAAAGCAGATTACCTATTCGTTTTAAGGACTATGTACTCAAGTAGAGACTGTTTCTGGTCAGTTGAACTGCTTTATTTAGGAACTTTGCTTACTAACGATACTGTTTGAGTTCCTTGTTGTGGACATCTTCAGTGAAAGATTCGGCATTCATATTTAGTTGCTAAGAAACTCCATTGTTATTTTTCTAAAGTCGAAGGGATGTTGATTGATAGCATATTGTAGCGCACATGAAGTATGTTTCTAGTTCCCATGATCCTTCACTTTGAACCATGTGCTCTCGTAATGGCCGTTCACGAATAAACCCATGTTGTTGTGTTCTACTCTTGTCGTGTTCCTTGTTCTCCACACTAACAAATCAACAGAAATTAAAAATGTTCTCCCTTTTACAAAATTGCTGGATTTTTTTCCACAGTACCTTAGCCAATGCGACATTGTGTTGTACATGAAAAATGGCAAGATTGCTGAGAGAGGAACTTATGAAGAACTCATAAGGAACAATGGGGTAACAAACTATAACAAAATAACTGATTCGTCATGATAACACAACATGAGGCACGGTACCCGAGTGGTGACTTCGTTGACATCTAGGTTCGGGCTAGAGTCCCGCCCAATAGTACCGAGTTCAACTTCTCGGCCACGCCTATGCAACTGTGGTTTGGCTCCTTTCAGTTATAGTCATCTTTGATTTGGATCTTTCGTGTGTGATTTTCTCGAAGAGCTAGTGCCTGCAAACAAGATGAAGCAACTAGACTGCCTTCTTGTGCGCACAAAGCATCTGAATTAGCATTTGTAGACTTTATTGGCCGTTTTCAAACTAGAGACGGATAGTCCATCTTCAAAATCCGTCAAAATTGATAGAAAAACAGATGGATAAAGTCAGGCGGATTGTCTATCCAAAATTAAGACCGTTCCATTTTCAAATTTAATAACAATTATTCACCGAAGTGGAGGTGGCTGGTCATGGAAATTTACCAAGCTGCGAAGCAGCGAGGTAAATATCACCCCTAGCCAGCGACACTGAGGTGAATAATTGTTTTAGTATATACTAAAACAGTGAGATAATTGAGCACAAAAATGATGATTGTTAACTCAAATACTGTTGCCAACGATTACAATTTTGGCGCGTAATGACCGAACGGCCGCGGCCGTCGCTTTTTCTTGCCGACAAATAAAACTTTTGAAGGCATTTGTTTAGCTCTTGCGGGGAAATTTCTTCAAAAGGAGTTGTGAATTCTTTTTGTATTTAAAATCATTCTGTAAAAAAAGATTATTAAATTTAGTTTTAAGCTTATTTATCCAAATAAAGTAACGCAAGACGTAAGCTTAATTTGCATTTGTAAACAAAAAACCTTTTCACCGGTTTTATCGATAAATTCGAGTAAAAAAGACAAAGCTTTACCTCGTAACTTCGTCACCTTCTTCGTGTATTTCGGGAACAGCTTGCTTGATTAGTTGTGAAATTTCTTTGTTTGTTACGGCAGCAAACCGGGAAGGCATTTTGCTCGCAACTCACGCGAGTTTGGCGTCTCTCGCTCGGAGGAACAGGAGGTGAATCAGTGAATAGTGCAGGATATTCACTGATTGAGTAGCCAATCAGAGCGCGCGAAAAACACTATCCACTGTTTTAGTATACAGCTATTTCGAGAAAGGTTGTCGGAAAAAGTGCACGCGAGAGTCCCGAAAGGCATTGTGGGTGGTTTAAGTTCACTGTTCTGTAAAGAAGTTTGAAATAACTGGTACGAAAGTTCACTGTTTTGTAAAGAAGTTTGAAATAACTGGTACGAAAGGCCGTGGAAATGTGTTCGCGAGTTCCTAAAGGAAAGCAACAATAGTAGGTTCGACAGGTACAGTCGTCAGAAACAGTGTATTGATCATATCCCATATTACCTTTCGGGGTTGTCGCGTGCACATTTTTCCCACAACTTTTCTCGAAATAGCTGTATACTAAGACGTATTATCTGTCTGACGCGAATTATACAACGGATAACCCGTCTCAGGATAGTCCGTCTCTAGTGTGAATACGGCCATGAGTGCTATACTAGAAGGGAGAAAAAGAAAGGCCTGACTTACAATAGCCTTGTTGTGAAATAATTCGTTTTGAATTCACCTGTCAAACGATAGCTCATCAGCAATACGTTTCTATGGCATGTTGTAGGAGTTTGCCACTCTGATTGGCATGTTTATAAGGGAAGTCGAAGAAGAGTTGTTTGATGAAGACATTGGTGAGTTTCTTCATTGTGGCGACCGTCAGCGAGGCGACGTAGCTCTGTCCTCGTTATCAGCAGATGACATAACTAAACTGTTTGAGCGGCAGATCTCGGCTAGTAGCAGGGGTAGAGGATTACGTAGCAGTTCGAGTGAAGGAAATCTTGAACCGTTTAAACTGAATGACAGAGTGAGCAGTAGACGCCTTCGTGCCAGCTCAAAGCAGAGAAGATTGTCGGGTGGCATTGAATCTGAAGCCAGGAAAGAGGAAGAAGAGAAAAAGAAGAAGGAAGGTGGGTTGACTGAGATAACTTTGCACTTGGACACACGTAGGTTAATTTTAGGCGATTTTATCATACATTTAGCTGCTTTCCTTAACCGGCCATACTTTTTTGGCCCTTTTATTTTTCTCACTTATTTACCTGAGTCTTTTGGAAAACCGTGTTTCGTTTTGAAATGTCCTAGAACGTCTGTCCTCGGGCACGGGCTGACACAGAAAAATATCGCTGCATATAGACATGTATTTTTCTTTTCGACTGCATAAAACTAACCACACCCTTTGGAAGAAAGGGAGGTGATCAAACGTCAGTGCTCTGTAATTTGCGCCAGAATGGTACTGTCAAATGTCCTTTCCGAGACTACTTTTTAAACTGAATTTTTCTAACTATTTTTCGAGAGACGACTGTCATGAAGGTAAGAATAAGTATATAGAGGGTTGGGTGACTGTTGGGGCGGTCAGCTTGTCTCGTCTTTATATTGAAGCTTGTATGTTTGCAGCTGGGAGACTGACTCAGGCGGAAGACCGTGCAGAGGGAGCAGTGACATTTCAGACTTATAAAACTTACATGAAGTCAGGGGGAGGTAAGTGAAAGAACTGCAAACTAAAAGACACGTATTCTATAGCGACTTTAAGCAATGACTACGGGAGCGTCTAGTACGGTAACAGGAAGTACTTTTTTTCTCGCCAGGCGTCAAATATTCCTCAAGGAGGGAGTTAAAGATACCACGACTAGATTAGCGGGGAAAACGACGCTTAAAAAGTGAATTTACACTTTCTGAGTCTTCATCGCGATCATTCCATTTCATTTGCTTTCCAAGTGTAGGCGAACTTGAAGCTGAAGTCGTGCAGTAACCCCTCGCGGCAAAGAAATGTACAAAAAAGGAGTGTGATACAAATTGTACAAACATTTTCAAGTTTTCCTTGTGTTTTATCAGCCCTAGGTTATTCACACCACTTACTGACGTGTATCCTTTTAACTATCTACCATATTTTGTTATTTTGTGTATTTAGTATGGCAGTATTTTTCACGAATTGGATGTCGTGCCTGACACCAAATTTGAGGATCATAATCCTAAATTAAGCCTTCAGAAGTTGCCAAGGGAAACAAAAAAATTAAAAAAGGCATATGCGTATAATTCTGTTTAAAACACTGTGGCGCTTAGCATAAAAAATGTAACTAAATGCTTATGTACTTCACACTACGGCCCACCATGATCTGCTCAGCTGGATCGACTACGTTTAATTAGCAAAGAACTCATTCTCGTAAGCGACCAGCTTTTGTTAAGACACCTTTTTCGAATTTTCGAGGTGGTCGCTTACGAGAGCTTCGACTGTATTTCAAACTGTTCAGTGGCATTTTAGCAACCCATTGCGGTCGCTTACGAGAGCTTCGACTGTTCAGTGGCATTTCAGTATCTCTTGTAATGGCAATAGCCGCCTTGAGAGAGACAAGGCAACTTAGCTTCATGTTTTCTGGTTGTTCGTATTGATAAGGCGTTAATGCTGGTTCATAGGGGACTTGGTGTGAGAAGAGTATCCCCACATACGTAGCAAAATTAATTAAATTAAATGTACATCATAACTATTTTGTAGTGCTTGTAAAAGTCATTGCGTTGTGAAGCTCCTATTGCCCTCGTCTTTGAATTCAAATTCAAAATAACAAATTGGCTGTAGCCAAGTGATCCCCTATAAGCAGAACCTTCCGGTATTTTATTTTGCAGGTTACTGTGTCTATCTGTTCTTAATCTTGTTCACTGCTCTCTGTCTGTGTGGAATGACGTTCATTGATACGTGGCTTGGGATCTGGTTAAACGCTGCTGCTGCTCAGGTGAAACAACTCATTGCTCAATTTTTCTGATATGTCGCCCCTTTAAATAAAATTTAGTGTTACGGCTGGCAACCTAACTTACGTTCAACTAATATAGTGGTGGCGAGGCTTGTTTCCTCGTTGTGCAGAAATTAAATCAATCGAGCTGTTTGTTCCACGCGTGGAGTCGACCATGGTTATGATTCCGTAGATTTCATTTTCACGAGATCGTAACGCTCAGAGTTTCTTTTTATGACCTTAACTCTGTCGCCAGAGAAAAATATAAACTTATCCCCATCCAAACGAATCCAGTCAGGCTGAAACCGCGTACAAAGTTTCAATCGCCTACACGAATTCGCAAATCCGTCGTATCCAAAAGAAGTGAGCGGGTTTCCTAGTTTCGTGTGCACCGAAGGCCGATTCGTGTAAAAAAAAATACCCGGATTCGTTTGGGAATGGCATGAGGCAGCGTCCACTCGAATCCTGATATTTTTGGAAACCGCATAGTTTCTTTACACGAAACCAATGAATCCGCACACCGATACCGAACCTTTTTGACGCTATTCTCCAGAGTGGTTTAAGACCCTGCCCACACGAATCGGGGTAAAAAAATATGCTTTTTCAAAAATGTCCGAGTTCATGTGGACGTGGCCTTAAATCTTAAGCGGGATTCATTAACAACCTACGCGTATAGCTGTCGCGTTTGTCTGTTGGAATTTGTTATTGTTTTTTGGCTTAAAAAAATGAACACATTTGTTCTAGCGGGCAAATGTGTCGGCCATACGTGCATGTTGCAAATGAATCAACCCTTAGGCCCCGTCCACACGAATATTTTCGAAGCCGCATGCTTTTTTTATACGAATCTGCCCTCCGTCCACACGAAGCCAGTGAATCTGCACACCGAAACCGCATATTTTTGAAACCGCTCTCCGGATACGCTGAAACCGTGAGTCTACTTGTTATTTGCGTCAACGCTGTATCCGGTTTCAATCGTCTATTCGGATACGTTTATGACACAAAAATTCTCTATGGGGTGGTTTCAAAACGAAGTCGATTCAACGGTCTCTTGTAGACGGAAGGCCGATTCGCTTGTGGACGGGGCTTCAGATACATCATACTTAAGATCCATGTTGACATTTAATTTTACTCCTTTAATTAAAAGAACATGCCAGAACGCTTCGTTTTTGTTTAGTCACTGAAGTAATAACTATGTTTGGTTTCCTTTTTTCACAGAATTTAACAACGCCTGAAAGGTCTGGCATCATGGCTAACAATTCTTCAAACAGCTTTTATATGTTTATATATGTTGTATCATCCTTGGCGTTCTTCATAGCCGTGTTGATGAAAACTTACTTTTTTGTGCATTTGACTCTGAAATCATCCTCTCAACTTCATGACAAAGTGTTTGAGCGAGTTTCCAGGGCCAGCATGGCTTTTTTCGATACCACTCCAACCGGAAGGATACTCAACCGATTTTCTAAAGATCTGGACGAGATTGATATCCAACTGCCTTTTAACTTGGAAGCGTCTGCACAAAATGTCATACGTATATTAATTTCCGTGGCTGTAATCGCTGTTGTATTCCCGTGGTTCTTAATTGGTTTGTTTCCTCTTTTTATTTTGTTTCTATTAATAACTCGAGTATTTAACCGGTCGGTTCGTCAGCTAAAACGCATGGATGGTGTCACTCGCTCGCCTCTCTACTCCCATTTATCAGCAACGGTACAAGGTCTTTCTACTCTGCACGCATACAACAAGATGGCCGACTTCAATGAAGTTTTCAAAAAGTACCTGGACTTAAACACTCGCCCTTTTTTCATGTTCTACTGTTCAAATCGTTGGTTGGCTGTGCGCCTTGATATGCTGACTGTGTGTATAGTTACCCTTGCGGCTTTCATGGTAGTACTCATCAAGGGAACCCTCCCTCCAGCTTTCCTTGGTCTTGTGTTGACGTATTCTCTGAAGGTAAGATTCTGCCTTTTCAAAACCAATACTATGTTAACACGAGTCCGTTTAAGTTTGCAAACACGTACAAACTTAGTAGTCTTACCCATATTATATGTTTATTAAGTCTTCACAAGCGAATAATGGCAAACGTTTATATAGACCTTTTTTTCGTATAGGTGGTTTTCACTTGACGTCATCGCGGCCATGTTGGTGCACAGAACAATAGAGAAAAAGTCTTTTGGGAATTTGACTCTATTATTATGCAAAATACGAGCCATAATTTGCTATTGTTTTGTGCACCAACATGGCCGTCTCATCACGTGACTGAAAACCATCTATTCTGCTCCAGTGAGCTCACGCAGGGGAAACGAGGTCGAGGCTTCGGTGGACAATTTCATTGAAATCACTGTCCTTTGTGACCCCAGGCCTCCAGTTGGTTGCTTTGTTTACAGAAATGCAGGAACGGTCTATTGTTATTAACGCTCAGTGGGTAAGTTCGAAAACAGGAGAAAAATTCGTTCTTGTGATGGCGAACGCCATGGATGCATGCCCATTCGGGTTCGAGGAATATTTGTTAAATAGTACTTAGCTGAGCCGTTAGCCATTTGTTTAAATGAACTTCAAGGTTCTAGCAAAATAACAACCAAACCCTGACGACTGGCACTAAGAGAACAGTGGGTTGTGTTTCCCCAAGATCCTCATCCTCATTGAGCTATTTTGAAACAAGACGCTACGGAGCGTACACTTCGGCGTCGTGGTTGTGGAACTAATTAACTGTAAATGCGGAGGAATAGTAAAAAATCAAATATGGTAAGAGTAAGGTGTTAATTTGTGAAATTATGGGATTTGTCAGGATATTCTGAAAAGAGCAACATCCAAGAGGCCTACTTGCCAAAAACTAGCATTTCGGGACAAATTGTCCCCGAGATATTAGCCCAGTTATGCTCTGATGACTCCATACAAATCCTTCTAAAAAAACAATTCTCTATTTTTCTTAGTCACATCAGGCTTCAAAAACAGCATAGCAGTCTCATGTACTGATTAAAGATATGTAAGGCATAGGTAAGGAGTCAATTACGTTGAGCATGGAATTGGCTAAAACTCAAGGTCACGAGTTCGAATGTTTTGAGGATAATTATTCACTGACTATCAGCACGCAGGGATGTCGGATTAACACAAGGAAGTTTAACACCAAAGGAGCATACCCTTTACAGAGCTTTAAAACACAGCATCCACCAACACAAACTTGACTTAAACTTTGAGTAAAACTAAACAGCCTCTACCAATAATAACAAACTCTCACTTGAACTTCAGATATCTTACGGCTTCCGCGAACTTGTAAACACAATACCTGAAAATCGACCTTCGTCACACTTGACTAAACACAGCAGTCCAGCTCGTGGGAAAAAAACTTAGTTCTTTAAAAGAACTCGCTTGGAACTTGTATACCGTTTGACATAAGGTTCTAGAAAATACTAAACAGCAGGCGAATAGTGGTAGCTTTTCGACATATTTTATGATTTCAGTAACTGATGCAAATCTGCTGACTCATGCTGAAATGTAAACATGCTCTAATAATTAATTATTCATGGATAATCCAAAAACGTAGAGAACGTTCGAGAAAGTCACGCAACGCATGAAAGCAATTTTACTACGTAACACTCAACAAAGACAAAATGTCTTTTTGCAGCATTTTGTAACTTTAAATTCATCATAAAACAGTTCGAAAGGAGGGCTCACTCGTGAAATGTTTTTCAACACTCGAAGAGAAATTTCGTGTCTCTGCGCGGCCACGAAATATCCTCTATTTATTCCTCGAGTAATAGCCCATTTTACAGTTGCCCGTGAAAACGAGGCTGGAGTTGACCTTGTTTTGATACAGCCCTTCCTGCTTTATTATGTAAATCATGTCTTTCTTATGCTAACTAGTATTTTTTAAGCAAAATTTACATTAGAAAAGGATGGAGGTTTTTATCAAAACAAGGTCAACCTCAGCCTCACGTTCACTCAAAGGCTAGGACACTAAGCACACAACTGTAAACTGGCCTATTAAAGACTAAACTCGAAGTGATCTCAAGATATCACGAAGTAGTCAGGTCTCATTTCGTGAAATAGTTGAAACAAGCCGAAAAGTCACGAACTTGCACGCCCAATCTTGTCCCGAAACTAGTGCATCATTTCATAACTATTTTTCATATCCCAAACTACCTTGGGTCGCAGTAGCGCAATCGGCTAATCCCTCAACTTAGAGTCTCCTCTGATCTGACGGGTCACACAGGTGAGTCGGTTCAAACCCCGGGAAAGCCAAAATAATAATTCTTCCTTCCTCGAAAAAGTTAAAGAATAAATCAAAGAAATCGAAGTGATCTCGACATATCTCGAATTACTTCGGCTCTCACTTCGTCAAATAGCCGAATAAAACCGAAAACCTACAGACTTTGCATGCCCAATCTTGTCAAAAAATTGTAACTTTGATACATTCCTGAGCGTCGCGAAACCTTTACTTCGCGCTCCGCCGAAGTAAAAATAGCTCATATGTCAGTGGTCTAAGCGTATGTATCTTTGTGGCTTTTTGGTTTGTCCGTTCGGATGTGTGTTGCAGGGGCCAATAAGGTTGAAGGTACTATGAGTTGATTGCTAGGAACCAATGAGATTTTGCGTCTAAACTTGACATTGCTGCGCTAAAGGTAAAGCAGGGGCACTTTGAGACTGCCATTTTGGTTCTTCACAATTTTGTTTTCTTCTATTACGGCTAAAGGCGTTCAGAAGCATAACATTTAAATATCTTCATGATTCAAACGGTGAGTTCAGTGATGCAGCTGTTTAAGGGTTCATATTTTAGTGTGGCTGCTGGTTTAAGACATTTACGACCTAATTCGGCTATTTCGGCAATTCGAACGGCACAATGTACGTGTTTTCTCACCTGCTTTAAAGTAAAGTACAAAAAATCATAGTCTTCAAAGGTCTACAAATGAAACGTTAATAATTGGTATTTAGATGTTGACTTTAACTTGGAAGGATGCGTAATTGTATTTTCAGAAGCTTGAACAAGACCTGGTTTTTTTAAAGCTTTACCGAGTAAATATAATTCTGTAAACATGCTTTCTTCTCTCCTGTACAAAGTTCAGTCAACAGAGCTTTAAATTCACGTTCCGGTAACTTAAGTATAACCATACTTGTACTTGTACTTGACAGCAAACATGAATGTTTGCTGTCAACCATACTTGTACTTGACAGCAAACATTCATGTTTGATGTCATGAAAGTAATTAAAACATAGTGTTTAATTTACCCAGTGGCTAAGTAAAGATGCGTAACTTTTGCGTTAGCCAATAAACTTGGAAGTACCCAGTTGACGAAATAAGTAGAGATTGTTTCATTGAGTGGAATTACATGAGATGAGTAGAAATCAGTATTTCAGCAGACAATCATTCTTTTAGAAGTAAAGTAATGAATGATGCATAATTTTGTTGCAGATGTTAGAAAAGGAGGTGATTTGTTAAAATCGTTTGAGCTAAGTAATCTCGTAAACAATATGCGTTCTTTCACGTACAAATTTTAAAAGGGGCAAAGTCAATATCTTCACGTGCTAATTGTGTGTATGAGTTATTTTTATAATCCTCTTTACTAGATAACTGTGTGATAACTCGAATTCCCTCACGTACGAACCACGAAAGGGGGCAAAGTCCAACACTTTCACGTGCCAGCTGTGTGACTGTACATCTCATGCAGATTGGCTTTTCACAGTAATACTAGTAACTTGAACGTATCAAGACCTGTTTCGTTTTGTAACCAATGCCTTAAAAAGGCTCTTGTCTTTTAAGAAGCAATAGCTTTTGAAACATGAAGAATTAAGTTGTCAGAGTTAAAGACTGTTTCACTGAGTAGAATCGCACGTGAAAACCTCGTGAATTACGATGATGTAACCTTCTACCACAATGATAAAAATCCCGGTATTTCGTAATTAGTCGGTATTCTATGAGCCACATTTTCCTAAGAAACTCCTAGGTTTCTTGAGGATCGACTCAGCTGAGCGTTTCGCATTTTCATTTATGACCATTTATTTATCGNCTCGAATTCCCTCACGTACGAACCACGAAAGGGGGCAAAGTCCAACACTTTCACGTGCCAGCTGTGTGACTGTACATCTCATGCAGATTGGCTTTTCACAGTAATACTAGTAACTTGAACGTATCAAGACCTGTTTCGTTTTGTAACCAATGCCTTAAAAAGGCTCTTGTCTTTTAAGAAGCAATAGCTTTTGAAACATGAAGAATTAAGTTGTCAGAGTTAAAGACTGTTTCACTGAGTAGAATCGCACGTGAAAACCTCGTGAATTACGATGATGTAACCTTCTACCACAATGATAAAAATCCCGGTATTTCGTAATTAGTCGGTATTCTATGAGCCACATTTTCCTAAGAAACTCCTAGGTTTCTTGAGGATCGACTCAGCTGAGCGTTTCGCATTTTCATTTATGACCATTTATTTATCGCGGTACCCAATTTCGCTTTAAAACCCAGTCTACTTTAGGATAAAAAAGGTAGATTCATCACTCTTGGTAAGCTTACCCTGAAGTGTAAAGGTTGCACTGAAGCATCCAAAATAGCTCATGCACGTTAAATGTGCCTATGGTTTTATCACAGACACTAAGATTTACCCGGTGAAACGTTTGGTAAAATGGCTTAGAAGAATAGAATTCTCCAGGAAAAAAAACTAGGTAGCTTGAAGAGTCGTTTCATTTTCCCTGGGTAAATCTGCCAGTGACAAGCAAGGTTTTGAACACTAAGATCTCTAAGATGATAAATGAAATCTTGGAAACAAAACGCCTTGAAAGTTTGTATCTTAACCTTTGTCAATAATCAATTAACTTTCTTTCAATACGTTCATCAAGTACGTTGTTTTTGTGTACAGATGACCATGCTGCTACAGTTTACTGTCCGTCAGGTGGCAGAAACAGAGGCGCGGTTCACAAGTGTTGAACGAATTAGTTATTATATCCAGTCTGTGCCAAGCGAGGCTGCGTTAGAGATTCCAGAAAAAAAACCTCCCTCAAACTGGCCCTCATTTGGAGCAATTCAACTGTCAGGGATCAAGGTAATACTCATTTGTATGCAATTCTTAAGCGCTCCAGTTAAGAGGCAATTCATCTCCAGTCCCTACGCGGAAAAAGTTTACCAGGCAGGATTACAAATTATATAGTTGAGGCTCTCGTAAGCGACCACCTCAAAAATTCGAAAAAGTGGTCGTAACTTGAGCCAGTCGCTTACAAGAATGAGTTATCGTAAGCGACCGCATAGTAAAACAATAGAGGTAGTCGCTTACTGGGCTTCAGAAACTCGTTAGTAATTCATAATGAAAAAGCAAAAGAAAAACATATCTTTCTAGTATTCAAGAGTTAACCATGGCTTAGGCAGTGACGTCATAATAATCAAAATTGCGGCTCAGGGGAAATTTAATTAAACTTTCAAACTTTGTAAAAAAAAAACTGTCTGTGTTGTTCTAAACAGATGCGATATCGCGATGGACTGCCTCTGGTGCTTCATAATGTCAGTTGTGAAATCAAAGGATGTGAAAAGATAGGAATCGTGGGAAGGACAGGTTCTGGCAAATCATCTTTAGGTGTGTTGCTATGGCGACTTGTGGAGCCTGAGGAGGGATCCATGTATATTGATAATGTGGATATCACCCAAATTGGTATGTAAATGAGTTGTGGTTCTATTTTATTCTTGCTTTAAACTTTAGTTTCTTTTTAGGGGGTGGTTACGTACCTTTCAAAGTTTGATGCAAACAAATGTATTTTAAAGCAATGATAAAATTGAACTACAGCAAACGCTGCTTGTACTCCTTAAGTACCCCTCTTGGTCAAGTCGTAACGAGAATTTTATTATAAGTCAGGACTGTCCAGACAGATTAGTCAATTCCTAATAGTCCAGTCAATCTAGGCATTTTTGAGCCTGAACATCAAACCAACTGCAACAGAATTGTTTTCAACGCCATTTAAGCGAGAGTTGCTTATCTAGCAACATACTAAAAATGCGCCAAAATTAAGCGTTAAGCATTTTGAGCTTTTAACTTAGGACACCCACGTTAGTTAAAATTATACGTTCAAAAGAAAAATGCACAAGACGTGTTTGTTACTCTAGCGAAAACTTAAAGAAAAAAGAATAACTGCTTCCAAGTTTTCGGTGAAAAAAGAAGTGTTTTTTTAAGGATAAATATTTAACACGGCTGGCTATTGCACATGAAAGCCATGCTCTACTCAAGACACCCTAAAAATAACAAGGGGCTTACAAAGTAATAGAGTGAACTGTTAGCTGTAAAATTACAACAAATTTAGTCGTAAGGTTTTAAATCTAAAAAATGGAAGCCGTTACTTAATTATTAGCTTTTAAAATATTTCCTTTCTTATCAGATTTCGGTTAGCCATAACGGTAAGAAAAAATGTATATCCAGCTGTATTTTCCAATAAAGTTACAGCCCTCCAACAGTTTTTTGTTTTAAAGACGTGATGTCCAGTACATAAGCATGTATGCCCATACTTTCGCGCCTTCATTGGCCACTGCAATTATTTTCAGACGTATAGGATCCTGTGAACGTTATAGAAAAAGAGGTCTTTATTTTCTGATGAACGAAAAACTGGTCAAGGTTCAGGGCAGTTCTCACAAAAGAAAGGCAAGGAGGAAATGTAAACGTCTTCAGGCCACAGAACGATTGATCTCCTTATTCATCGTACCAATAACGGTAGGGCTGCCGCAGAAAGTACAAACTGAACACACGGATACATTAAGCTAAATCTGAGACTCGCTACAAGAAGATAAAAAAGAACAATAAGAATGCGCTTGGTTTTCTGGAATTCCCTTGCAACAGAGTCGGCTAGATGCAATGATAAGCGCAGAGCGTCAGTATTTACCAAAAATCAAATTAACAGAGTCCTAAGCAGCATATTTATTCACTCATATTGTAAGGTACGGAGTCGCAAGAAAAAAAAGCATCCCAGTTTTCGATCACACATATTTTTGGCAAGGTTTTAAACATAACTACTTCACAAAACTCTAGTACAGAAACAGAAATATGGTAAACCGTTTGTACTCATCCAAAGCAATCGTCCGTATCGCACATTTAGTGGCAGTATCCTGCAGCTTGGATGCAAATTTAGTATATGTAGCTGACTGATTGTGAACAGTTAGATTTGATATTTGAATTACCCGCAAATAAAACTTCTAAAATACATACTGCATTTCTGCGAGTCAGAAAAAACTATTATTATGTTTTAATCAACTTAATACAGATTTTCTAATTATTTCCGTTTCAAATACCACCATAAAATACTTGTTGGCCGAACAATTAACTTACTGAAATTATTTTATTTTAATCATATCGTCATGTACTATGATGACTGTTTTCTCTTCTTTTTTTTGGCCATCTATGTCCTTTCTTCTTTTTTTTTTTATGGTGTGTGTCTTAAGATGTTTTGTATGTCTAGTTATTGTGATGTCCTGTACATTCGACACTACTTTCAAAGAACTAGTTGCTAGCTCGAAAACCTTACGGTTATCTAGCCGCTAGGCATTTCTTTCTATGTAATAATATTTAGTTTAAATTGTAATTGAATATTCTACGTGTTAAGTTACTAATTATTCAATAAGTTTGACAAACCCTGTAATGGAAATGTGAATAAAGTGTTGTTGTTAAACAGAATGTGATGACAGACGCCCGGCTGGGTAACCTGTACAAAGCCGCTAAGACGAAGCACTGACCCAGGTGTTTCNTTTTTTATGGTGTGTGTCTTAAGATGTTTTGTATGTCTAGTTATTGTGATGTCCTGTACATTCGACACTACTTTCAAAGAACTAGTTGCTAGCTCGAAAACCTTACGGTTATCTAGCCGCTAGGCATTTCTTTCTATGTAATAATATTTAGTTTAAATTGTAATTGAATATTCTACGTGTTAAGTTACTAATTATTCAATAAGTTTGACAAACCCTGTAATGGAAATGTGAATAAAGTGTTGTTGTTAAACAGAATGTGATGACAGACGCCCGGCTGGGTAACCTGTACAAAGCCGCTAAGACGAAGCACTGACCCAGGTGTTTCTATATTAGTTGGCGTTTTTTTAAACCAAATCTACCCAAAATACATTAGCAATGATGTATCTACGATTCTTAAGGGAAAAAAAACACGATTATCTGATCTTTTGTCTGAATTTGTGATTTTGCTGAAACTGGATTTCCTGTGGTGATAGTTGAAAATCTTTGTTGCCAATTTTTCTTTCATGTTCCATCGAACGGATTTTGGCGGATTTTTAGTATGTTGTTAGGTAGCCGTCTAATAATTAAATGGCGTTGAAAAAATTCTGTTGCAATTAGTTTAATGTTACGCCACAACTTGACTGGACTACAAGTAGTATACACGGTAGTGAGAGATTTTTAGCAAAAACGCCCGAGGAAAAATGGTCGGTCAGCTAGTTCTGAATTTTGTAAAGCGGGAAAATTATTCGCTACTGAGCTCCCCCGAATGTAATCCCACTCAAAAGACCTTGCGAAAGTAATAAGCCTACGGATTTAGGCCTTCTTTGACTCGTCACGAAGCGGTCCCCTTATCCCGTTGTGGAGGATTGCGTGACGAACCAAAAGAACACATGCGTATGAGGCGAGATAAACATATCATCTGAAGTTCCAGGTGCCCTGGCGAATTGGATGCAGTAAGTAAGAAAACTTTTGCAAAGATTTCTTCCCGTTGTTTGTACATGTCTTATTTGCAGGTTTGGAAGATCTTCGATCCAGAATTTCAATCATTCCTCAGGACCCAGTCCTTTTTGTCGGAACTGTAAGGTAACAGTTTATTTGTGTCTATAGGTCTGTCTAACGGGTGGCAACATGCAACTTGTTTTGCAATATTGCTGCAATACGAGTTGAAAAGCGATGTCGGTCGTTTAGCCTTCACGTTCAAACTTATCTTGTAACAAATCAGGTTTTTGCAGGTTGGGAAAAGTTGTTACAGAAAGCAGAGAGTAGTTCTACTTTTTGGAGTAAAATCTGTACATGTTGCGTATTTTACCGGCCCAAGGCAAACTTGTTTTGCAGAAAGTGACGTCACCCCCGTGTATTGCGTTAGTACCCCGTATTTTATCTAATGAGAAGTAAGCGTTCACGCAACTTGCTGCAACATGTTGCAAGACAGGTTTTATAGTCGCAGCCTTTACAAGCTATAGTTTTTAACACACAAACTTTATTCTAGAACTTCTACAACTGGTGCAGGGAAACAAGTGAACCGATGTGAAGTATAACGAAGTATAGCAGTACTGAAAAGTAACAATTAAACAAATACAAAGTCAAGATAAAACAACCTACAAACTGAACAAAGCAATAAGGCAATCTAGAAATGCGAATGAAACAAACGAGATACTTACAAGACGATAGCGAGATAAGGACGAAAAACTAGGACGAGCAAAAACCCAAACATTAAACTGTAAACTGGACCAAGCGCAGCTAAACGAAGAACTGACGCGAAAAATTACAATAAAAGCTAAATATACGATATGCAGAAAAATCCTAACACGAAGGACAAAGCTACGCGGACAATGAAAAACTAATGAACCAAACAACAGCACTAAAGGCGCGAACACGAAAATAACTAAGAACGCGGCGAACATAAAAATACTATAAAGATAACGGAAAAAATTCCTGGCGTTTACATTCCGGCCCCTAAATACAAATCGCTTGTATTTACCTAATATTATAGAAAAAAGGAGCCAGGAACTAGCACAAAAAATTAACTATGGAAAACAATAATCTTCTTTAACGCCAAACTCCTTAAACGAAAAAGAGTGTCACGAAGGCCTAAGTGCCTCAACAGGCTTCACTGTTCAGACTTGATAGAACATCACGTAAGCTCAGTGAAAGTCACGCAAAGTCTTCTTGAACAAATCCGGGAAAACAAGACACTTTCAATGTTCAATTGATTCCAGCAAACATAACTTCATAATGGGTCGCTCCAAAGTAGAGGTCTTGGTTTTGACTCTTACGCGACGCACGAAACCATCTCTATCTGGGAACACTTCTGTGATTCGACCAATCGGCCACACGTCCCTGGGCGTCGATTCATCAACGATAACTGTGTCTCCAACAGTGAAGTTTCTTCTCGGTCGAAACCATTTCTGGCGCTCCTGCAACGAAGGAAGGTATTCTCGTCCAGCGACCCCAAAACACATTTGCCAAATACTGCACTGGACGCCATCTTCTCCTGGAATGATTGTCGTTCTTTTCAAATAGCCCTGGTGGTAGAGATTCGTTTTGGCGAAGTAGTAGGAGGTGATTCGGCGTAAGAGGCTCCAAATCGTTAGGATCGTCGGAGACCTTGGTCAGCGGCCTTCCATTAATGATACTCTCAGCTTCACACAATAAGGTTTGAAGACATTCGTCGTCAAGGACTTGCTCCTTGGTCAAAGCTCTAAGAATCTTGCGAGTGGATCTGATAAGTCTTTCCCAGATTCCACCGTGGTGGGAAGCCGCTGGAGGATTGAAGACCCATTTGATACCTTGCTGTAGAAGGGTGTCGTGAATCTTGGCCTGATTCCAACTTGAGATCATAACGCGAAGTTCCTTTTCAGCTCCCGTGAAATTCGTACCATTGTCTGAACGAATCTCTTTAACCTGACCTCTGCGGGCAATAAATCTTCTAAGAGCTAAGATAAAGGAATCCGTGTCCAATGTGTGGGAAATCTCCAGATGGAGTGCTCTCAAAGCTAGACATGTGAAAATAGCTCCATATCTCTTTACCAAGCTTCTCTTCTGGTGGACAAGGAAAGGACCAAAGTAATCAATTCCAACACGTGTAAAAGGGGGTTGATCTGGAGTGACCCTGGAACGAGATAAGTCGGCCATTTTCTGTTCTCCAGCGGGGCCATGGTGACGTTTACACCGGAAACAGGACGACAGAACACTTCTTGCCGTTGTGTTGGCTCGAATCAACCAAAATCGCTCGCCCAAGAGGGCTAGCACGTATTCTCTCCCAGAGTGACCACTTTTCTCGTGAAAGAACCTGATGAGCAGTACACCAAGTGGAGAATCCTTGGAGATAATTATCTGATGCCTTGATTCGTCAGGTAAAGGAGCTCTGCTAAGTCGTCCGCCAACGCGAAGTACACCACCAATTAGGACTGGGCTTAATTTTGCAAGGCAACTTGACTTCTTTACACATCCTCCTTTCTTGATGGTTTCAATTTCCTCAGGAAATGCATGAGGAAATGCTTTAGGGCGTGTACTTCGGCTTGTAGCTCAGCAATTCTCGCAGCTTTTTTTGCCCTTCCAACAGAAATGGAACTAGCTCGAGAAGATCGGCTGTACGCCGAACCACATCCGGATCGTTTCCTGTTTCTTAAACCAAGTTGTGAGACACTGTTATCGGGAGTAACATCAAGGTCTTGAATTCGGATCTCCGTTACACGCAACCAGTCGTTAACCGTTTGACAGAAGAAATTAAAACTCGACTCAATGTCAGCGAAGTAAACTACTGATTCCTGTCTTTGGCTCTCATCGATTAGGGCAGCATCATACTCCTCGTGTGCATCTGTAAATCTTTGAAAAGGGGACTGCTTCAAAATTATTCTCATCCGTTAATAAGCTGTCAATTTCTTTACGCTTAACCGTCAAGGCAGAGAGCACTCCGCCTCTTCTCATTCTAAGTTCTCGGATTCTTTCCATTGCAACTGCTTCTTGATCCAGCGAAGAATTAGGCTTCCGCGAACGGGTACTTGAACGACGAACACTTTGACCATTTTTCCCGGCGGAACACGACAAATTGGCCTCCTGAACCACATGAGACATCGCCGAAAGTCCGACAACTCTCGTCTTTACGAATATAATCGCAGCCTTTACGCGCTATAGTTTTTAACACACAAACTTTATTCTAGAACTTCTACAACTGGTGCAGGGAAACAAGTGAACCGATGTGAAGTATAACGAAGTATAGCAGTACTGAAAAATAACAATTAAAGAAATACAAAGTCAAGATAAAACAACCTACAAACTGAACAAAGCAATAAGGCAATCTAGAAATGCGAATGAAACAAACGAGATACTTACAACACGATAGCGAGATAAGGACGAAAAACTAGGACGAGCAAAAAACCCAAACATTAAACTGTAACCTGGACCAAGCGCAGCTAAACGAAGAACTGACGCGAAAAATTACAATAAAAGTTAAATATACGATATGCAGAAAAATCCTAACACGAAGGACAAAGCTACGCGGACAATGAAAAACTAATGAACCAAACAACAGCACTAAAGGCGCGAACACGAAAATAACTAAGAACGCGGCGAACATAAAAATACTATAAAGATAACGGAAAACATTCCTGGCGCTTACAGGTTTGAAAGTAAAACGTACAACGTCACTTTTCAAATTGTTTTTTAGCAATGTTTGGACACAAGTTGCACGTTTTACCGTGTGTAAATATCTGAACCTAATTCAGCAATATTTCATGACACCCGGTTTCTTTATAAGTGTTTGTTAAAGCCCCGTCCACACGAATCCGGATCTTTTTGAAACTGCCTAAATTTTTGTCAAATAGGCCTTCTGTCCACTCGAAACCAGTGAATCTGCTCACCGAAACGACATCTTTTAAAGCCGCTTTCCAGGGTGGATTTTTTTGGGATCCGACTGGTTTGGCGCATTCGTGTAGACGACTGCAACCGTCATAAACTCGGGTCCAGGCTCAAATAACAAAATGGAAAATTGCAAATTTAAAATAGCGGCAACAAACCTCTTGTTTACTTGGATAATGTTCTTTGAACAGTTTCAGTATATCAGAATATATGGAATGAAGCGATTGCCATGCGACGTTTTCCACTTGACATTCGTGCTTGAGACACGTATGAAATGTCGGCTAAAAGCGCTGGAACTAGGAAGGATATACGGGCAGTGAAATCACATCGCGGGTCCGAATGCCTGCTAGCTAGGAGGTAGGCAGTGTACACCGCAGTAGCCTATTCGTGTGGATGTGTGAATCCAAAGTGGATAGTACGCGGTTTCAACATATCCGTATTCGTGTATTTTTCACCCTTTGTTAATACATGTCACCGTTCTTTTGTCAGGTATAACTTAGACCCATTTAAACAGCACAGTGACAAAGAACTATGGAAGGCACTAGAGAAAGCACATCTGAGGGAGATGGTAGGAGTACACTTACTGTAGTTGTGATTTGAGAACTTGCCACGTTGTTGAAAGTACCTCATTCTTACTATCCTTGCTAAAATTTCCGTCTTTAAGGTGTTTCGATACAGTTTTTCAAAGGCCATACCGATATTTTTTAATCGCCTTAAAAGTGGTTTTTTCCTTGTCCAATCGGTATAAAATTTTCACCAATGATTGTGTATAAATCGAAATTTGTCAAAATGCAGGTTTTCGTAAAATTGATATTACTATGACAACAATAAACAAAGAACTTTGAAACTGATAAACGTCTAATTTTGCGCGATCTAGACGAGCTACTGAAAATCCAACACTAGGAACGTAAAGTTTGATGTTAAGGGAATAACCTCCGTAAGAAGTAAAAAATTCTGAATGTTTGAATTCGACTAAATGTCATTTGATTTTAAGGTGGACAGTTTGCCAGCACAACTTCTTGCCCCTGTTACTGAAAATGGTGAGAACTTCTCAGTTGGTGAGAGGCAGTTGATTTGTATGGCAAGAGCTCTGCTAAGACACAGTAAGGTAAGAAATCCTGTCAGTCAGTATAAACAACTGTCAGATGAGTCAGTCGCTTCATCTCTCCTTTTTTCAGTGGTCTTGTTTTTTTACTTTGATACAACAAATTTTACACGTAAATGTAAGTATTTAATACGACACTTGCTTGGTAGGGAATGTATAAACTATTGATAGTTTTGTAACAACAATTTGTAACACCGTTTATTATTGTGTGTGTTTCAGATCTTACTACTTGATGAAGCTACGGCCGCTATTGACTCTGAGACAGGTAACGTGTTAAAAACAACGGGGAAGGGTTTCCATAGAGGGAGTATACCGCGTACTTAATTTGGGAAAATTTGGAAGCTGTCATGCCATTGTTAATTTTCACATTTCTGGGAGGAAATTAACTTTCTCTTATATGTTCTTTAGATGCTAAAATCCAGGACACGATCCGTGAGTCGTTTAAGGACTGCACACTTTTAACGATCGCACATCGCCTGAATACTGTTATGGATTCTGATCGGATTATTGTCATGGATGAAGGAAAGGTACAAGGGCTGTTTATTTGTTGTGTAAAACCAGTGATGTACAATTGATAACAAAAAACGGCAAGGTCATCGTTCGTGATTTATCGTTTTATTGATTGTAATCAACTCAGTGAAAAAACGATACTGAGTTTATGCTAAAGAGGAATATAATGAATAGATTTGTTTTATGCTGCAAAGCTTTCGGCCCCAAACTATAACTTTGAAAGCTTCTTTATTGAAAAACTATGGCTTAGTTTGATTTGCTCTCTTTCAGATTGTTGAGTTTGATAGTCCTTCCACATTATTGGCAAATCCAGACTCGGCATTTAGTAAACTTGTTCAAGCTACAGAAATCGAAGCAGAGGATCATTACCTTGTAGAGTAACTACCGCTAATTACTGCAAAGAAACACTGGACAGTGGATAGACATTTTTTTAATAACGCGCGCGGAAGATATGTGTCAATAATGATGACACAATAATTTATAGACTGTTTTTCCGTAAGATCTTCGAGATGGAAGACTATGGTTACGGGCGGCTATCTTGGATGGGTTTCAAATCTACTTAGAGAGGGCGTGGACGGTTTGGGAGGAAGGTTTCCCCCCCCCTCCCCTCCTCCCCCCACCGCTATAAACCCTGAGGCCTGCCCCCTCGTAAGGTGGCCGCCCGTACCGGTAAGCGCTCAATCCTGACGACCTTACGAAAAAAAAGGGACTGTGAACAGTATAAATAATCTACTAAAACTCTATTTTTTGCAAACGATCTTAGAGATCAGAGAACATGAGGTTAAAGGGACAGGTTCACGGTTCAGCGCATGCTCATATATCAAAATGCTGTTTTTCTGCCGGGACATGCTTTATCGTCTATGCAAGCAATATGATCATGATCATACTTCAGGTTACTCTGAGTACAATTCTACTTTGAAATACACTCTGAGATCGCTGAGATACATGTGATTGGGATTATTAACCGATAGAATTAATAATAAAAGTGGAAAGAAAGAATTTAATTAATGAGCATGAGCTTAACCGTGAACCTGTCCCGTACAATAGACAATATATAACTAACTTTTCATGGAATAACGAAATACTATCGCTCCGTTTAAATCAATATGTAGGTACAAAGTGTGGAGGTGTGTGTTCGAGCAACTCGCTCGCTACACGAGGAGTTACCAGGAATCTGATTTTCATCTTGGTCTTTATTCTTCTTCGACTTCAGCTAACAATTTTAATCTTCTTACTCAATTTCTCTACTCAACCCTGGGTATTTCTATTAAACACCTTGTTACACTTTGGAAAGTTCTGTGTGATTGCGCAGCGAAAAATGTTCAAGAAACGTTAAACCTTTCGAAGATAACAGTCGAAAGTCTACGTCTGGACTGCAAATGCTTTTGAAGGTCAAGTAATCATGCCGTTGGCGGCAGTGAAACTCGCGTTCGTGTGTTTAGCACTTAGGAGGTTAATTATTAGGAACCATATCCAAGTTCAAAAGAAATTGAAAATTATTTTTTTATTCACATGAGATATTCAGCAAAAACCTGCGGGTAAGAAAATGTATTTTTCCATATTAGCCTAAACAGGTTCTTATATTAATGGTAATAAGCACAAATGAAGGTTACGTTAACACGCACCGGACGAATTTTCCAGTGGCTGAAAAATTGGACCAGACACTTCGTTCACACGGGATCGTTCAATATTTTCGCTCTATTCACACGGAACTTTGAACGGCTAGGCGTCTACATTTTCGCACGGTTAGGGTGGTTCCGTATGAATTGAACACCTAAACGTACGAATTTTCTACCAGTCGAAAATTCGCTCAGTGGTATGTAAACGTAGCCTGAGGCTATTTGAGGTTTCTTATCCGTAGAAAACGTTACATTGTAGCGAACAGAATTCAGTGGTATTGAGTACTTTCTTTATATAGAATCTGCATACCACGATAGTGTGACAATGATTTTAATAGGGAAAATTGAAGCACCGGTGACATGATCTTTGCAGTCTTCCTCTAGAACATAACATACATTTCCTTGCTTTTAGAAATAGGAACCTGTTTTCATACTAAGCTGGTTCTTGTATAGAGGGGGCTAACTAGTCAGATTTAGGCTAACAGGTTTTGTTTTGCGGGTTGTTACTGGAAGAAAATTCTGCTATGGGATGATTTTGCTTTTTTGCTTATTAAACCAGTTTTTGAACGGTTTTGTTGCTGTCATCGTTAAGTTATCAAAGCTTCCTAAAGTTTATTTACCTGACTGACGCAATAATGTGAGCTCTAACTCGCGTGCGCGAGGGCTAGCTTCGCCGAGGTGTGGAACCATATTTTTTTTTTCGAAAATTTATCACCAAGTCCGTTGCAGGAGTAAAAGGCCAGTCTACTTTTCGTGAAGCTCTCTCTCAGTGGAAATTCAAAGGAGTCTCAACTGAGTTGACCACTTTGCACAGTGCAACACGAGCCGGAACTTGTTTCGCAGAGCTCAGTGTTACGCGCAAGTTTTAGCTTGCAGCCAGGCCCCGGCGTGAGGTTTAAAGACGCGTTTAGCCATTAATATATTTCCTATGCAAATTAGCTTAGGCGCTTAGCTTATCTTCCGAGGGTATAAGCTTTGTTTGTATTCATACACATATTTTTCTAAACAAACTTGCCAAAGCTACATACAATTTCAGTGGCGGGTCCAGGGGAGACCCCCCGCTCTTTATTATTAGACCAAAATGAGGCCCGAAGGCCCAAAATAAATCTTTTGGGAGACCAGGCTTCCCCCTTTTCTAAGGGTGTGGATGAACGCCGCCCCACCCCCGCCCCCTTATCTCAAGGTCTGGATCCGGCACTGGATTTTTGTATTTTGTCATTACAAACTCTGTTTAATTCATGGCATTCAACAGACCAAACGCTTTACATTGGTAGCTCATTTCTATTGGATCTTATTATGCGTTTCACAACTAATATATAACAATATTCACCGAAGTGGAGGTGGCTAGTGGTGGTGGATATTTACCGAGGCCGCGATAGCTGCGAGGTACAATCCACCACTAGCCACCGACACTGAGGTGAATAATTGTTTTAGTATATACGAAAACAGTGAAATAACTGAGCACAAAAATGATGATTTTTTAACTCATTTACTGTTGCCTGCAACGATTACAAAATGGCGCGCAATGACCGAACGGCCGCGGTTGTCGCTTTTTCTTGCCAACAAATAAAACTTTTGAAGGCATTTGTTTAGCTCTTGCGGGGAAATTTCCTCAACAGGAGTTGTAAATCCTTTTTGTATTTAAAATCATTCTGTAAAAAAGATTATTAAATTTAGTTTTAAGCTTATTTATGAACAAGTCAACTAAATAAAGTAACGCAAGACTTAAGCTTAATTTACATTTGTAAACAAAAAACGTTTTCGCCGG